CGAGGAAAATTCTAAACGGAGAGTCCCCAAGTAAATGTCAAATTCAAAAGCTCAAACACATCAAACGAATGGATAACAACTGTCATTTTCCTGACTTGGTAGAGGCATTTTCGCTGGACCATGAAATAGGGGGCAGGGCCTCGAAACAGTAAAATTTTGGAATGAGACCTCCTTATACAGCTGGTCTGTTAATTGCTAAAAAAAATCTTAACCATTATTTAATGTTAATTTTTACCAATTGATCCCAGTAAATGCAAGAATCTAACTTTTGGAAAGCTATTCAAAATGAAGTAAAGATAGATTCCCCCAATCCAGCTATCTGTGATTAGTCAGTCAAAAGTACAGGATAAAAGGGTTACATGAATAAGAAATAATAAACATGTTTTTTTTTAATTATTCAAGTTGACCTTTTTATGATCTACTTCATATTTCATGAACATAGCATTTTTTTTTTTCACCTGCAGACTAGCAAGTATTTGAAATGCAATTGTATACAAAGTGGTTAATTGTGACAAATTAACTTTCATATGATAAGAATTTTATTCTGTTATCAGCAAATCTAGGGAATGGATAGGCTGATGTCTTGTATTCATCTGTGCAATTAATGATATATAGATAACATGAGAATAATGTTCTAAATGACATACTTTTTTTCCAACTTTTTACCACCTTCTGACTTAAAATAAAGTTTCTTCTTTGCCCAAGATCATGATTCTGTCCAATGAGGGTTTTTTCTGAATGGAATTGTTTGAAAAGGTCTACTCATTTATAGGAATTAAACATTTACAAATACCGTTTAATTATGTATGTTACAAGTTTTTTTCTCACAATTCTAGTGTGTTAATTTGGTTAAAAAGGGGGGGGGGGGGGGGGTTGTTAGGTTAACATATCTCACAATACATCTTTGACAGTCAATGAGTTAGAATGAAGGTGATTTAGAACTTATTTCTGGTACGTACACTTTAATGTATGTTGACTTTGTGACTTTTTGATTATTTTTCGTTGCTCACTGCTGTTAAACCAACATCTCCTTTTATAATTAGGAAAGCTTATAAATTTTCTGTTAAATGACTATTGACCTACAGAGGTAAAAATACTTCACAATCTATAGTATAAAGAATCTAATGATGCTATTGCAACTGCTATTGAAAAACTCCATAAGATAATCGACTCTCATAAAATTGTTGATGATGATGTAAACAAACAAACCTGTATCACCTTGTTTGTTGTTTGACTGTTTTTCTGTACAAAAAAAATCTGATTTTCAAACAGATATGGCAGCTGGAATAGTCTTTTTCTTGGTGCCATTTGGTATTCAAATAACCAATTCTTGGAAAGGGTCTTGATGATAATAATTTATGTTAATTATGTTGACAGTTTATATAAATTAAGGAATAACAGTACCGAAGGTGATAAGTTGCCGCCGTCAACTGGCGATTTGACGGTCACAAATGCAGTTTTACAGGTGACATATTGCAAAAGACAGAACAATTTGCGACAATTGACTGTCGCAATTCTTCAACTAAAGCACTGATATTCCTATTCTAATGCATCACAAAAAATTATAGTACATTAAAGCTTATACAAAAGTAACAACCTCCCAACAAAATATTAAGACTATGATTTACACATGACCTTAAGGTCAGCTTTTGGGATTTGCTAAGGATTGAACTAACCTGTTAATAGACAAAACACATTTGGCTCATTGTTGGATACCGTACAAGGTTATCTATAGTTGCTAACATCAAAGTCATTTGGTCTCTGGTCGACAGTTATCTCATTGGCAATCATACCATATTTCCTTGTCTATATAAAAGATCTGCTATTGGTAACTGTCAAAGATTAACTTTACCTTTTACTCAACAAAACACAGAACGTGATAGTCAAACAGACTGTGTTTGGTCTAATACCAGGAAAAAAGCATGGCTGTAGCTCATTGAAGTATCTTACAATACAGTTTTTCTGATAACTTCGTATTAGTGAATTTAATATTAATATAAAAAGGAAAGTTTTCCATAAAAAAAATCCTGTGTTAACTGTTTGCTGGATCATATGTAGGAATGTATGACTAATCCACAATCATCAGTGTCACAGAACAAACATTTTCTAATTTCCCCTTAAATAAGAGAAAAACATTGCACTCATTCTTGTATTATGCCATATAATAAGTTGTCCTATAGACACATTTCTTTGGTGATGCATACCACTATTATCGGGTTACATTGTATAACTTAAAGCATGAACACTTTTTTTCCTCTTAACTATAAAGGATATATAAATTATAACAACAAAATATTGACATAAAAGACATTTAATGTAGAAAGACAAAACAAAAGAACAGTCACTCATGACATCAAGACACTATGGACGGATCTCTCATACATGGTGGAAAATAAAGCTATTTACAATGTGGAATGTCAAATATAAATACTGGTACCCTGATGGTACTCATTTTTTTTAAATTACCTTCTGTTTTAAAATGTAACATTTCAGAATTATATACTGACACTCGTCATTGCTAACAATGGTAATTTTCTTATAAGTTTCATTCAAATGTGTATTTATATATTTAAGCATTAAATGGATGAAAGATATATTGTCTAAAATAAGACTTAAAATTTTCTCATAAACAAACATAAACTCCAAATATGTCCATGTAAATTAAACATTGTAATTTTATATTTTGGAAAGTGTGAAAGAATTGTGAAAACAAAATACACTAACAGTTAAGAATAACAAATCCAACATAAACTATGTCTAAATTTTGCAGCAGTTAAATGTCTGAGAAATCGATGGACAATATTCACAAAATTAATTGTCCATTTCACTTAAAGAAATCATGCTCATTTTAATTTTACAGCTAAAAAAACACATTTCTACATGTTAAACAGAATGAGACATTTCAATTTTTTTTATTGGTGAGTACTTTACACCCCTTAAAACACTGAGATTAATAAGCTACTTTTTTTTCTGAAGTATTAATTTTATACACTACATTTACTAAATTAGTTACTGTTGTATTTACTATTCCTGGAATATTGACTCCAGCTGCTAATATGGACATAGTATTCTCATTGGACAAATAGCCCTTACTCCAGCTGCTCATATGGACATAGTATTCTCATTGGACAAATAGCCCTTCTCACAAACAATCTTAAAAATTAAATCAATAGGAACTTCTAAGTTAAAATAACATATATCGTTTAGTTGTAACACTATTGTGCATCTTGGTTTTCATTCTATTGTTTTTCTAATGAAAATAATATTTCAACTTCAAATTGACCAATCAAAACTTTCTTTTACAAATCAAGTATGTTATCATTATTAAAATTTCAAACATCTGTTCTGTCTTTTACTTGTGACTTTCTTATACAAGGTGCCCTTTTTTAAAATATTTTTCTCTTTATCAAAACTAATTTTCTGGAATGTTAATGATTTTCTGACTTGAGGTGAAGTAAGTTCTTTAATTTTGCACTTTATAGAGTTTAAATAATGTAAAATTTTTCAACATCAATTCTATGCAAAATATGTTTGAAAATTCAAAAGGAATGTATCAACATGATAACATGAAACAAATCATATACACTTATAAAGATGTCAACATAAAAATTCATTGGTTTATCTAGATATTAATGTTTTTTTTCATTTAAACACATTTAATATAATGGCAAATGTCTGCTTCCCCAAAGCATACATGATGGTATTTGAGAGGATTTAAACTGTTTCTAATATAATGTTTAAGACTTTTAAGTACATTGGCAATTCAGTGGTTTTCTCAATTATATATTCAAATGTCACATATTTTACAGTCAGATTAATCCACAGAAAAGAGAAGGACAATACATGTATGTCTTGAAAGATCCCATACTTGAATCAATGAAACTTTTGTTTAGACACAATCAAAACAAGACAATAAAATATTTCTCCATACATTTTTGTGTGTATCTTTAAAAGCACTTCAATGTGACATAAATAGAGGCAATACAAACCCTATTAACAAAAACATAAATAAATCTTTTATAACTACCGGTATCAGATATTAGAAAACATATGAAAAAAATATTGTCATTATTCATAACATATAGTTGAGTATTTATAATCCAACTTCACAATTTAAAATTTCAATCATGTGAAAAGAGAAATATTTTGGCCATCTTCAGATTTCAGAATGGATAAAGCTCATGCATGCTCTCACAAATATTCAAATCTCCTGCATTGAATACACATTGATACTATGGTATTCCAGGAAATACAATATGGTAATTAACAAAAGATGTGTCTATTTATTCACAAACAAATCTATGATGAATAGTGTATAAAAAAAACAGAATACTAAAATAAGTACTATTTGCCTAATGTCAAATATTTGCAAATTAAATTGAAATTTTCAAAGTTAATTGCAACATGCAGCATTGTAAATGCCGCACATTAAAACTTTCAAAAATCATAGTAATGATCAGAAATATATATTCTCAGAAAGTTATTTCTAAATGCTTGATTCTAAAATCATAATTAAATATTTACTGGTCAATTTGTAATTTAAGCTATAGATACTGAGTTATTGTGACATTTGATCAAATATTCTAGGATAAGTTATTACTGAATTTTTTTTCTATTTTGTAAAGGCAATTGTAATTGATCACAAATCTCAAAATGATTGAAACAATATATTCATGCAAACATAATAAATAAGTTAAAATAAACCCATGCTACATTCTTACTATATATTCTATCATATCTGTTTCATGATTATATAAAAAATTTAATGCAAATGAACACTGAGCTGCAGAAAATAATAATGGAATTCAACATCAGTAAAAACAAGACAAAAAGGTTACCAGTATGTTATATTTTATAGAAATGTTGTAAGTTCTATGCCCCCCCCCCACAAAACCAGATCATAAATCTTTTTCTGACTTAAGAATTTAAGGCATTTAGACCCTGGAATAATGATGAATACTGCCTTAAGGCCATCAAAACTTGTGATATATATAATACATATTATACATGTTATAGTTCAAATCCATGATGTATTTACTATCAACATAGAACAAATCTATAATGTTGCTTGAAATTTAATGGCATTTGCTTATTTAACCTATTAAATCATACATAGGTTAACTAGTCATTTATATACACAGTGGATAAATTGTGTTGTTATATGGCCTGCATGGGAACATACTAATGACTAATGATGACAAATTACTGTAAATTTAGAAATTATTGCGAAAAATGCGACAGGAATATAATCGCAATAATTTAAATTCGCAATTTGAAAGTTTTATATGAATTGAACAGGATTTTATTCAATATCGCAAAAATTAAAATCGCATTTTAGTCTTAAAGGACAAAATCGCAATAATAAATGCTCGCAATAATTTCTGAATTTACAGTATATAAGACCTTATAGGTAAATTATGCAATTTAAAAAAAATTCAAATACTTAAATTATCTTAAAACAGAAAAAAAAAGAAATTGAAAGTATATATATGTAAATGTTGTTTGAGTTTATACTTGTATAATGCAGTCTTGAATAACAACAACAACAGTTAAAAATAATATGCCCTGACAACATGGAAGTGTTTCTACACATGTATATTTGCCTAATTCCCTGAAGTACTATGAATATCTTTTGTAGAATGAGACAGATACCACTATCTATTGTGATTATTCCCCTTGATAATTATACTCATAATGCAAGGGAAAATGTTTTCCTATGTCAATAGTTACCTTCTATTCAATCAAAAACAAATAATTGTTTTTTGAAAGATATGTTATGTACTTTCAATGTTTTAAAAACAAATTGATTTAAGGGAAAACATATTGAGAAACTAAAGTTCTGTCATCCATTACATTCAGGTTTATAATAAAAATGTATTATATAATTTAAAATTGCATAATTATAAAAATTCCTGGCCAAATTAACAGAAACGGCTAGTGACCAGGAAAGCACAAAAATTTACAGCAAGCAATCAAATAGGAGGCCAATTAAACTAGACACAGTCTGAAATATACTGTAGAACTGATATAGCATATTGAAACATTAGTCCATATTCATTAAACTACAGAAATTATATGTGAACGTTTTCACACATTATTGCTAATTGAAATGAATAATATTTATAAATCTGAAGAAACAGAAATTCAATGTGAATAAAACCCCATCAGTTCATCAAATGATTTGAAATATCTATTTTTAAGATTCGAAATATATATCCCTCATCGAGTTACAGATATTAGCAGACACAATAATGTATTCACCAAAAGACAAATATCACAAATAATTGCACGTTTTATTGTTCTATAAGTGCAGATGTTGTGCTGTACAGGTTATTCCCCCTTGATGAGCTACTGTCTGCACTTTGTGAATTTTATGAATGGGACTATGAGTCTTTGTGTAACAAACTATCATCATACATAGAAGATTCTAACTTTGGATTTGCTGACAAGTAAATCTCCGTCATAAAAACTGGTTTCTATTATCACATTCCCACTGAAAAAAAGAAAAATAAAGTAAATTATTCCATGACAAACTGTCAGATGTACTTGGGGTCATGAAGCATTTCTTAGCTTTTCATGCCAGTAATTCATAACATAATATGGTTGAATGAAAGAAAATCCCTCTACATTGTACTCATTGAAGCATGACTGAGGGAGACAGATATTCCTGTTCTGCTTGATAAATTAGTGGTATTTAAATTTCAGCACTCTTGGTTACTTTATTAAATAGCACAGTTTTTAATGCTTTATTTGGTACATGCTTGAAAATTTTCATTTGCCTGCTCAATTAAATTTCTCATTATTTTTTATGTGTTCCATCTAGTTTTTGTTAAATAAGCTAGATCAGCCACAAAACAAAAGTCTGTCAAACATGCATCTAATTTAAACATTACTTATAAGGGTAACTATAAGCAATGAGGAAAAGGTTATCTGATATCAAGAAGTTGTGTGATCATATGAATGGTTTAAATATGTTTCATTGTATTACTTTAGAACATTAGCTGGCATCATCTGACTTTCTGGAGCTGCTTCTATCACAGACTGCCATGTATTGGTGGAATCAGGAATTACAAAGCCAAATTCAAAATACCATTCTAAAAAAGAAAAAAAAATCTTTGTACCTTTTACAGAATTGCAAGCATGAAACAAGAATAGGATAAATGCCTCGCTCACAATATCACATTTGCTAAAAACAATAAATTTAGCATATATATTAAATACTTTATTTCATTAAGAATGTGTGAATTAAGTTTTTTGTTCATGTTACCACAAACTACCTTTAACCAAAACTTTTATCATAACTTAAACCAAAACCTTCAAACAGACCGACAGTTGCCCCTCTTTTATTGTAACTGGTGCTAAAATTATAGTTGATGATTACATATATGTATCTCAGTTTGTAATAATCTTAATTTCAATAACTCTAGAACGACTATCTTAAACAGTTATACACATTTCAACATTTTTGTAAAACTCTGTAAAATTACATTGCAATCAAAAGCATACTGTTGGAAAACTGATTAGAACTCACAAAAAATGTTGAAGTTTTGTGATGACTTAGGTCCAATAAAATTTGGAATGACTTTAATATCCAAAAATCCTCAAAAAAAAAAGTAAACAAGCATTCTGAGAGTATTGCATGGCAATACATAGTCCCCTACCAGGTAAAAATTTATTATACTGGAACAAAATGCTAACTTGTTCTATAACTTCTCATGGTGTAAACAAAAAGTAAATATCATGTCAATATCTTCAAGCATGACTAAAAACAGTGTAGAAAACTAATTATATGAGTGAATTTTTCAAGTCCAAGACTCCAAGGACCATAACTCTGCACAAAATTATTTGACCGAAACAAAATTTTGAACTTGATCAGTAACTTGTCATGATAAAACTATATATATACCAATTATCAATCAATATCTAATAAGCATGATGAAAAAAACATCAGATATGATTAATAGTTCTCTAAAATTAGATATGATGAAATACAGTGTATATCTATTTTCAAATTATAATCAAATATAATTAATAGTTCCAAATATGTTTTCTTTCATTTGTCACAAACTAATATAGATTTGTAACTTATCTATAAAATGTCAACAACTTTTATCTACACAATGTAATGTATTGAAATATATACATTAAAAAAAATAGATTATGATCTAATTAAAGGATTTCTCTTGAAGTTCATAATTTTTTTTTATATATATATCATGTATATAGCATTCAGAAAATTAGTTTATACTAAATAACAAACAAACCTGCCAAAAAGTTCTTCAAATAATTTAACAAAGAATGTCTTTTAAAAAATGAGTTATCTCCCTTTGTAAAGAAATATGGTTTAACATAGTACTCCAACATTAGATATGGTCCAGAACTCTGGACTAAATCATCAGACCGGAACAAAATTCTAACTTGATCTATAACTTGTCATGATAAAACTATATACCAAATATCAAATCAATATCTTCAAGAACGAAGAAAAAAAGCGTGGAAAGCTGATTTGCCGGACAGAAGGACAGACGGACGGAGTGCAAACCTAAAGTCCCCTTTGACTTCGTCGGTAGGGGACTAATAAATGGGGAATGTGTTCATAGGACACAGATGATGCCCCCACTTGCATATCATTTAAAGTTATAAAGGGACACAACTGAAGAACGGTAAAAGTGACACTACCCAAATTTGTACTTGATCTGAGTTTTGTGGTAATAAGTATTGTGTATAAATTTTATAACATTTGGTTGCGGCTAACTTAAGTTAGAGAACGGAAACAAAAAATTCATCAATTTTTTCATTTGTAAAGGGGCATAACTCTAGTACAATAAAAGTGACACCACTAAAATTCAAACTTGATCTGTGTTTTATGGTAGTAAGCATTGTGTATAAGTTTCATAACATTTGGTTGAGGCAAACTAAAGTTAGAGAACAGAAACCAATTTTGAGATGTAGGGACGTACAGACGGGGAAGGGTAAAACTTAATGCCCCCTCTACGCTACGGAAGGGGCATAAAAATTCACATATTCAAATGAAAGAAATAGGAGGAAAAAACAAACTGATTGATCCAGAATATATAGCAAAATCAAGGTAGTTAAAATATAATGTATGTCTTCTTAAGGCTGGTAAGGTCTTGGCCTTTATGGGGTTAGTACTGACCGTTATCACAACAAAGTTTTAAACACAAACTGTCACTTGGGGTACCCAATTCTGACTCCCTTAAAGTTAGAGATTTAATATAAACAGAAAACTCTTTTAAAGTGACAATGTTGATCTAATGTCAAGGCTTAGATATATGATCAAAATGTTGAGAACTTCAAAATCCAACACAATTGTCTATTTGTAACTACACAAACTTTAGCCTATCAGCTATGGATCTGAAAATTTAGTTTTTAACCTTGTCTCAGACATTTTGTTCTCATAGGCCTATTTCTATCTACTGACTAGTGTTATACTGGTTTTGAATTGAATTGGACATGTACATCTAACTACATATCAATATGATACCTTCTAAAATTTTGCCTTTAAAGTAAACTTTTTGTTCTAATCTAAATTTGTCCATCTGTTCCTTGGATGAAAAATTAATTTCTCTGGATACTGTTTTACATTTTAAGATCTTCTTAGGTACACGAGCTAAAACATATAACATGTTAAAATTATGTATTGACCAATAAAATTAATTAAGAAATAGAAATTTATCAATGAGGTCTCTTTCTAGGAAAATAGTTCCTATCTACCAATTAAATAAGCATACACTGATATGTATAGGACACAGATTTAACATTGCATTAGACAAGGAGCATTATATATATGAAACTTATCACTGTTTATATAAATCAATGCAATTCAAATATAACAAAGAAATTCAAGACAACAACATGTTATGTGATACGGGTCACATGTTTTGCTCATTGTTGAAGGCTGTACAGTGACCTATAGTCACTAACTTCTACATCAATTGTCTCTGGTGGACAATTTCTGACTTGCAAGCTCACAATTTAACAAGGCTAAAATAATAAAATTCTCTGCTGGGCGGAGCTTGATACGATCGCAGAGGTCGAACCCTGAACAGTTGGGGCAAGTATGGACACAACATTCAAGCTTGATACAGCACTGAATTTGGATTGTGATTAAATGCTTGACACAGCATAGGTTTCTGACACAGAATGAATGTGGTCTAAGAACTTAAAATTTTTTAATTTACCTATTCAAACCATACCATAATTATTTGCTTTTATATATAAATCAGAAATAACTAATTTAAAATGGAAAATTTTAAAGAAAAAAAAGGAAAAACGTTTTGGGCAATTACCCCCAAACTCAATTCCAGCTTTTCCTTTGTGATATGGAACCTTGTAGTACAATTTCAGAAAGATCCATTCACTTACACACAAGTTATTGTCATGAAACTAGAAAATTGCTTGTTTTTTGCCCTTTTTATGGCCCCTAATTCCTAAAATTTTGAGGCAATTACTCCCAAAATTAATCCCAGCATTCCCTTTGTGATATGGAACCTTGTGGTACAATGTCAGAGAGATCCATACACGAACACACAAGTTATGTCTGGAAGTTACCAAAAAATGCTTATTTTTGGCCCCTAATTCCTTAACTGTTGATACCATAACCTCCAAAATCAATCCCAAGCTTCCTTTTGTGGTATTGAACCTTATGGTAAAATTTCATGGAGATCCATTCACTCTTACTAAAGTTAGAGTGCGAAAACCAATGTGTCTTCGGACCACGACGAAGCCAACGTCATACCAATATACGACCACAAAATTTTTGCGGTCGTATAAAAAATAGGTTTGTTTCCCCACACCCCGACTGACTTAAATTTTTCGTCTGAACTCTGATTTCCAGAAATAGCTATCCAGATTTGACTTCTCACTTAATGTGTATTGGCCTGCAATTGTACCTATCTATGTTTGAATATTCATAATCTGGACTCAATCATCTAATTATTTCTGTTTGTTTATTTCTACGCCTTTTTCGTTCAGCCATATTGAATTTCATCGTGATGTCATTAAAGTTCCTTATATACTTTAATTCAAAAAGTCCCCCCCCCCCCAAAAAAAAAATAGTGTTGTGTTTTTAGGCGAACACGTGTTTCCAGATAGAGTTATCTTGTCTTGAGTTTATTCAATATGAATGAACGAAATAGACATAGAAATAAATAAATGGAAATAATGACATGATTGTGTCATGGATATGAATATTCAAACATAGATAGGTACGAGCTACGTAAAGGTGGAAAATAATGAAATTCTTGCAAATAAATGCGACCTGAACTTGGGTCCCATACCGAAAGTTTAAACAAAGGAAATCTGTAGCTCTATGTCTATGGTCCTCAAAAATAAAGAAAATAAAGACATTTCATTGGGACCTAAGAGCTACGGTCCCACAGCTACATGTAGGTTTCTATATCATAATATGTCTGACAATACGTTTAAAAAAAAAAAAAAAAAAACCCTACCTACTGACCCACCAGCAAAAATCTGGAGCGGGGTGTGGAGAAACAAAGATTCTTTTAATTGCAGCCCAATCTACAGGAAAGACAAATCTGTCTCTTTATCTGCAAACATTATTCTGACTTTTATCTGACTGGTCAATGATTTTTTTCCTTCTTATTTCTATATACTGGATGCTCAACAAAATGCATCAGATAAGTTAAAGGAATCAATACAACTATTGACTCTGAGAGATTAAAGATTAGCGCACCATAAAAGTTTTGAAGAGTGTGCAATTTTTTCATCTAAAACTGTCATTTGCCAAACATAATTTCTACATGCAATTGCAAATGATACATACAAGTTACATGTACATTGTACATGCATGTAATGACCATTCATATAGAAAAAGCCTGTTTCATGAATGATTAATAAATATTACTTTACTCATCTGTTTTTCTAGTATGTGCCATCAATTATTTACCTTCATGATCTTTATCTGGAGATGACCTGTAAAATAGCTCGTACAAATTACAATGAAATATGAATGTCATGAATGTTACCATTATTTCTTTACTGGTATTATTTACTAATGACCATTACACAAGGTTAGGTCTTCCTGCATGTGTTGTTGTATGAAATTGACTCTGATCATACAGAGGCAGATATTAGTGAAGGTCAGTTGGATTTCCTATACCTCATCAGCATTAATAAAACTTGGTTTCAGTAAGTGCGAGAATCTATGCTTAGTTTTCCTGAACAAGCATGAAACATTTGCTATTGGACATTAAGCAACAAACCATCTATCACTCTTTGCTATAATTACATTGTAATTATGGTTTTCCTTACAACTGTGTTTTTGTTGCTTATCAAACTGGTATTAGAGTCGAGAGTTTTTTCTTTAAAATTTTTTTTTGTACGGTCTTCTATGTTCCCTTTTTTATTCCACTGAGATTAAAAGAAGAGCTTTCAGTATTAAATAAAAAAGGGTTATATAAACCATGTGTTAATGTGCCAGTCCAAAGTAGAGAGCTTCATCAGCAATAGTCCTTTTGCATAAAGGGAATTTATAGCTTGACACATTGTGTGTGTTGTGTACACATCTGTTGTTTTTTTTAAAAGATCACCTTTTGTGTCGAATATTTGTCTTGTTGACATATTCATTACATCTCTTATTCATATGAATATTTGAAATTCACTATCTATGTTATCAACAATTACATATATTTAATATTTAATAAAAGTTAAAAATAAATCATAGTGAACATAAAGTTTGTATGTACATATATATGAAACTGTTTAATTATACATACAGATCATCACTGGACTGCCATAATATTCTACCACTGTCTGCATCTCGTAAATTCATCCAATTTCTTTTTTTGTGTTAAGGAAAATTCTTCAATTGAATATGATGAAAGCCCTATTGACCATAGAAGTTTGCATGAATTACCAAGCTAGAAAGACTTTTATACATTAACATGATAAAAATAATTAAACATAAAAATAAGATGTGGTATGATTACCAATGAGACAACTTTTCACCAGAAACCAAATGATGTAGATATTAGAAACTATAGGTCACCACACAGGTCAGCCTTCAACAACGAGTAAAACCCATACTGCATAGAAAGCTATTAAAGGCCCCCACATGTCAGACAAAGCCAGAAAACTAACAGCCAGATTTATAAAAGCATTCCATCTTAGGTGACTAACTTTCAGAAATATTCTATTTTTTTTATAACAAAATTTTATCAATACTGTAAACCAATTTATCATTGCTGATACTTTTTTCATGTTTTAGACTTTCTAGTCAACTTTGGGTTGATTTATTTACCTTAATTAGATTTTCTAACTTAGTTGTTGAATCAATCTACATGATACATGTATTATAAGTTATTGTAAGAAATGGTCCAAGTTTTACATACATGTATATTGAAGACAATTTATATTTGACATTTTGGGTTGTTTTTCTTAAAGGGGTTAAAAAAATCCATTAGCCGGACACCTAGGACTAGAACATTAATACTTTTCAGGCAATCAAAATTTGTTATCCAACATGCCTGACGGACTAGTAAAAAATATTCTTGGCTTATTAAAACAAAGAAAGTGGAAAATCCCTTCCTCATTATTTTTATCCTAGCCATTGGGATTCTATTTATACTTCATCCAGGATTCCAGGAATTTGAACTGATATGTGAACACGTTTAAAAATAGAACATATTAAAGAACCTTTGTGAGCACGCTCACATACCCCACGCCCCCACATTGTCACTGGACAAACAAAATCTCACCAGATTCCTAAGATCAAAGACTCATAACTCGACAAAAGTCAACTGATAAAAATTTTCTTGTGGATATATATGCACATTTACATATTAAGTCCTCATTAACTACAAACTTTCATGAAATTCTGTTATGTGGTTTCAGAGAAGTTGCAATTACATTGTTGCAGTAGTGTATTTAGGCCAAAATTCTAAGTTCAAAGGAGCATAACTCCTAGAAAAAAAATTGAATCGTAATTTCCTGTCGATATGCACATCTACATAATATGTCCTTATTATCTACAAAGTTTCATGAAATTCTGTTGTGTGGTTTCAGAGGAGTTGCGATGACAAACTGTTGCAGTAGTATATTTTGGCCAAAATTCTAAGTTAAAAGGGCATAACTCCTAGAAAAAAAATTGATTCGTAATTTCCTGTCGATATGCACATCTACATAGTATGTCCTTATTATCTACAAAGTTTCATGAAATTCTGTTGTGCGGTTTCAAAGGAGTTGCAGTGACAAGAACAGGACTGACGGACAGATGAAAAACATTATACCCTCAGCAACTTCGTTGCGTGGGGTATAATAACTGGGTGGACTGGTATCATGAATGGATTGTAGTTCCTGTACTTAATGGGGCATTAGCTGTCACTTTCATGTTCACCGATTTGACTCAAATTCTCATATTTGATTTATAACATACTAACAGTATATCCAAATTACAATAAGTCTGAAATAAACAGTTAACAAAGCATTTACTGGATAATATATATCAGCATTTCATGTGTATTTTAGTCTAGACGCCATCTAATTAACCATCGAGATGACCTCTGAAGACTGCCGGCAGTCACATAACCCAATATAAACATATAAATAGATAGCGACCTCATGATATTGAACTTTTCTAGGTCTGTTTGATTTCATGTCATAGGTTAAAAATATAAGTTAACCATTGTTTTTATCTGTATAAGAATAATTTTTTTGTAGATGGAATCAGTCAACGAATGGTTCACCTTTGTTTCACTTTCAATGTTGACATTATTTTCCTTTTAATGGCTGAACAGGACTAATACAAGCGTAACCAATCTCTAGCTAATGGATAAATTGAAGATCACATGAACACGGAGTCAATGGGGTTGAATTATTCACTTACAAGTGAATAATTCATCAGCGATGTTTCTTTGCTTTTTGCCAAAATTGAACAAAATTGGCTGCTAAAAGTGAATTATTATTTCATTATTTCACTTTTACTAACATGACTAATGATTGAAAAAAAAAAAAAAATCATATTCTAATTTCTTCATATCTCGTCGCTACATTGTAATGCCCCTTTAACATGTTTAAAAAATATCGATTTCTCAATACTGGGGGTATTGAACATTGCTCATGCTGAGACATTTAATTAACAGTACTGCAGGATATGATGCATTGATCGATATGACCTGTCATGGTGGACAGCATGAAACCATGCAACAATGTATATATATGCTTCACATTTTAGTATGGGCACCCAAGGAACATTGTCAGTTTCGAAACAAAGAACTAAAGATGAAAGGGGAAATGAGGCTGAAATGTCTTCAGAATGTAACAAATTCATCATGTTCATTTGATTTATTTTATTAAATATCATGGCCTTCAAAACAATGGACACACACTTTTCATTATGCAGCAAACTCTGAACTTGTAAAGCAACTTGGACTAGCAGGTCTGTTTTGTTGGGCTAGCAGTTCTTCAAACAGGACTAGTAAAATCCTGCCACCAATAAGTACTGGTCTAGTGAATTGTAACAAAAATTTTTAACACCAGTCTTATTGTGCAAGTCACATAAATGAGTCATTTTTGTTGACTTACATGATTGAAAATGGTGCACTAAAAATTCTGTGATTTTTTATTTATAATCGAAATTTTCAGAGTAGGTTAGACTATAAAACTATAACAGAAACTGGAAACAGGATAACCAATACATGTACATTGACCTGCTGTTACTCTATATTGTGTGTTCTCATTGAGCTCTATATACTTGACAACCATATCGGCATTGAATGGATCTGAAAATTATTATGATCATTATTAAAGAATTGTCAGTCACAACAACTATCGATATTCATGCGTAAATTGCACATTGTTGCATATGTGATTCTTTTTTCACCTGCTTCTTTTTTTCTTTTTGAGGGCTGTAAAGAAATCAAGCAACATCAATTTTCATTTTGCTTGACGTTTACTTGTCATCTTGGATCCACATGTGTTTTCTCTCTATGACAAGAGGGCGCTTTACTAATATGTAGAATCATCCTTTTTCAAAGTACACAAATCATCGCATTAAAAATCATTTTGGATGTCTCGTTCCTTATCCATAACTTTGTCAAGAATCTTTAAATAGAATATAACGCAGACCTCGATGAGAACACCTATATAATCAAAGCGCAAGCGAAGACAAGTCAATTCAATCGACAACAACTTGTTTTACTTAATGATAGCACAGTTTCATTTATTTGATTTTTATTTGGAACACAATTTGAATCGGCGATTTCCTTAATTTGAAACGGGGAAATTTCAGCAGGTGCCGATGCTCATTGAAAACCCTGATGACGATCTATTGCTTGTCCCATAATCATGAACATGATTTAAAGTGTGCCCAAATATCTATTCCAGGTGCAGAATTAAACAGGTACTGCATTGACTTAACCCGGGTGCTGACCTGACTGGCTTACAATGTATTTTGAAGATGCCAAGTGACAATTGTCAATTCTATTTTTATTTTTAAACATTTTGATGATTATCAACTACGTAAAAATTGAGGAGGACATACAGGTCTGTGTCAACAGAAACACATGGAGAATAAAGGGATGTCATGTTCTCATAAAGAAGAGCGATAGATACATAGAAAAAGTCGACAAAGGGAATTTAAATTTGCATGTGATATAAATGTCACAAATCAGGATGTCTCAAGACGCCGATATAGATTTGGAAATTTGTGAACATAATTGATGTAAACAGATGTACAGTTATCTAGCTTAAGGATACAGTTTGAATCCTTTCATTATGTCCTCTGCTTTAGATGGCATATTGATTTATAATATTGTTTTATCAAAACTAGTCTGGTTCTGATTCACGATTCTCCAATGTCAACAAATTTAGAAGTAGTTCGTTCAATTTTCCTACGCGACAATCTTTATCATATGAATGTTTGTATGATTGTGTTGTTTATAACGAGCAATACACCTTATCGCTATTCCCGCTTGACCCGAGAATCTGTCCCGCTTGAACTTTTGACGTCATACAACAATCACTTTTCCATTGTGGCGTCAGATATTTTCTATTATGACGTCAAAATTTTACGGGAACTTTTGTGATGTCCAGTAATGGCGGACAAATAGCGATAAGGTGTATTATAACCTGAACTGTTTAACTTGCATCGAAATCCTTAAATTTTAATCCATTTTGATAAATATATTTTGCAAAAACAAGCAACCAGGTTAAAATTTATGAGCATGAGACCTACTTCTCACACGTACCGGAAAGCGTCATATTTGACTTAAAAGATGTTGTTCGGCTAATATTGGACGATGGACTGTGTTTCTGAAAATCTTAGTTAACACTTATACTTCTTTAAGAACGCTAAAGAAGTCATATGTAAATACATACTGATTAATAAGTTCTGATATGAGTAACTTCAATACAAACTTATGAAATACAAGTCCTCTTTGCCAGACTTTGGCAGGTTGGGGATTATCTCCAATAAAAAAAAAACTAAGAAAAAAGAGAAAAATAGTATTGAATGCTGAATGTCTTACAAAATGTGGAAATGGTTTTTGATGGGTGTCAGTTTGACTTTCTATAGGTGCCAAATTAACCAAGTGCTGATTGACTTCCACCCACTTATTCAATAGAGTTGAATCTGCTGATTATAAAAGTCATACTAATTAACTTGCCCCACTCATGACAAGGAGTTTTTATATTTGTTTATTTACATGCTCACCCCAACTTCCAAATTAAATTTAGACAGAAACTCCAGTTGTCATTATCAAATGATTATTCATGTTATTTATGAATTAATTCTGTATTAATTTCACCACATAAAACAGAAAATTAATATTTGATTCTGAATGCAAATTGTCCGTTGCTTGATTTCATAAAATATGATTCATTTGATTCACATAAATGGTGATGTATTATTTATAATTGTATGATTGTGCTATATTAAATTTTTTTTTACTTTTAAACTTTTATATTGCAATATATTGAAAAAAGCATTACTTGTCAGTGTTCCAGCTAGGATTTCAAAAGGGCAGGGAGCCAATCATGAAAAGGGCACTTTAAATAGCACGATGATTGATATTTCAAAAAGGGCATGTCAAACATTGTCTTATGTTAACTGCAGGAGTATTATCAGTTTCACTATAAGAAAGTATTCATTTTAAATGAAATAATCTTAGCAGTTAATCAAAATGAAAATATTACTGTCTATAAATAACAATGAAATGTAACTGTTTCTTGTTAAAAGGGTTTTTCCGAATTTTCCCGCCACATGGCTTTCAACAAATGTAAACAAAACCTCAATTTGTGATCCATACATGTGAACCTCCCGACGGGAGGACAATAATCCCGGTTCAGGGGTCTCCTCCCGCCCTCCCGTTGAAGAGAAAAAAATCCCGTGTATAAAATATTTCATGAATGAAAATTTTCAGGCACCATTTTTTTTTACTACGATATTTACAAATGTTTGTTATTGAAGACGAAAAAACCCGAGAGTACCGAACATATCCGGTGTAACTGACATTACCTGTACACATCACATGTAGATACCTGGCCAACGGTTAACTACATGTAACAAGTGATAATAGTTTGATTGCATAATAGACAGGTGTCAGCTCAGGTGATAGAATATTAATATGGCTTCTGTCTATGGCACACGCAAAGGATGATTAAAGGGAAATACCGGCAATGATCAGCTGATGATAAAAAAGTGGAATGTTGTTGTCAAAACATTATTGCCAATATTGGAAGGTTTCGAACCCCGAAAGAAACATTTAATTAACTTTCAACTCATTAAAAAAATAAAAAAACTATTTCGCACTCCAATGCGTACATTAAAGGATTTTCATCATGCTCAACAAGATCCAAACTGACAGCAGAAAACATTGACTCAAAGACAATCCACAGTATCCTGAGTTTAAAAATCAACAAACTGTTACCAGGATCAGGATTACTTATATATTTAGTGCAGAGTCAAGTTTATTGAAAGCAGCCAAGTCAGCTTGTACAATTGTACTTTTTAGTCTTACATGACCAAGTGTCAAAGACCAGTGATTCTGTTATTAAATAATATATGTCAATGGTATATAGATCTATATAGACAGTGATTTAGCTAAAAATAGTAAAATACTTTACACTGTTTGAGTCTTAAAGCTTAAGTTTTTTAGAAAAAAAACTTTTCTTAATGCTTATAAACCATGCATTATTATTGTTATTGTTTGTATCTATACACAAAGAAAAGGTCAAAGCGCTTCATTTACAAGCAGTCAACAATCAATTATCAAAAACAAAGCAAGAAACATAATCTTCTCAATATTCCTTTCAGCAATGTGATATCATTTGAATATAAAGGCTACAAAGGTACTATAAACACATATTACATTGGATGGAAGATTGAAGAAAAAAACAATTTAAAAGACAATTTCTACATCATACTGTTACATTTACGACAAAATTTATGTCGATAAAAAACCTCCTGATCTGAGTCCTAATCTCCTGATTAAAATTTCCCAATGTCCTGATCATGCTGATCTGAGTTTCACAGTCCATCACATGTATGGTGATCATGGATTACAGCTTTAATTAATTTAATTTGGATATAGATATTCAATGACAGGTACAGTCAAGCATTGTTTTTACTTTCTTCTGGATTAAAACTAGTTTAAAAGATCAATTTAAAAAAAAAATGACATATTAACAACAGACGATCTATGGATACATCAAACGCAAATTGTCATCTTTTGAGAAATATTGAAATTGAAATGCTGACTGACTGAAATTTAATGAGAAAAATTATTACAATGGTCAATTATGAAGTTTAAATAACGGATTAATGACCCATCCGATGTCGATAAGTGGATTATCTGTAATCACAACTTATTACACCTGCTGTAAATGTTAATTAGCTGAGGGTCATAAACTTGTCATAAATATGAAGACAGGTAGAATAATTGTATTTTCATCAAAATATTACGGAAATAAAGGCATGGACTTATGAAAAAGGGCAGGGCGTCTTAAAAAGGGCACAGGGCGGCACTCAGTAAAGGGCGGGCGGACCGCCCTGTGAAAACGACCTAGCTGGAACACTGCTTGTTGTGTCAAAGCAAGTCATAATACAACTTATTATCATACAAATGTCATTTAATGATTTGTTTTATGCCAATTAAAAGATTGGTAACTTAAATGTTTGTTATTGCAATAATAATAAGCTCCTAAGGTATTTTTTGAGTAAAACTAGTTGAACATTTTTACAAACATTTCGGTAAAACTTTCCACAAATGCCTAGATTCCTCACCAACATACATACTTAAATCTCAAGACAAAATGCGTTGATTCCCATCACCAACATACATACTTAAACCTCAAGACTTGAGGTTTAAGTATGTATGTTGGTGATGGGAATCTATGCATTTGTGGAAAGTTTTTCCGAAATGTTTGTAAAGTGAAACTGAAAGAATCTGATTCAGAGGTAGAAATCTATTTTTATCTCTGATCATATTTCATTGACAAATGCTGTGTATCTACTAAAGCAGCATGGGGTTAATAAAAATGACATGTTAATTTAAAGTTATGCAGTTAACTGATAAAAATACTGATAAGGTGCCTAGTCAAAACGACAAGGGTTCACTGACTTATTTTAAAGAGTGTGAAGCATGTTTTGGTGTTGATTAAAAGAATTTAAAATTGAGAATGGAAATGGGGAAAATGTCAAAGAGACAACAACCCGACCAAAGAGCAGACAACAGCCGAAGGCCACCAATGGGTCTTCAACGCAGCGAGAAAATCCCGCACCCTGAGGTGGTCCTCAGCTGGCCCCTAAATAAAATTGTGTACCAGTTCAAAGAAAATGGATGTCACACTTAACTCCAAAACATATAAATGAACTAAAATTAAAAAAACATACAAGACTAACAAAGGACAGAGGCTCCTGACTTGGGACAGGTGCAAAAATGTGGCGGGGTTAAACATGTTTTGTGAGATCTCAACCCTCCCCTATACCTCTAGCCAATGTAGAATAAAGAAACACATAGCAATACGCACAGTAAAACTCAGTTTAAAAGAAGTTTGAGTCCGATGTTTATTTGTTTGATAAAGAAAACCGCTTGTCCTGATTTTGAACTTGCTTTAAAAATTTCTAAACTAGCAGAAAGGACCAAAAATCTTTTTATTGTGTTCAGGTCTTCATTTCTCTGAAATACCACTTAAACGTGATAAAAATGTTTTTAAAATTAGTGACTGAACATGGGAAATCTGATGAAAATTTTTTATAAATATTTTAAAAAATGTCCTCCATTTCATAAAGCAAAAAATGGAAGGAGTTTAGACCAGCGCATAACTTACATCTCCAAAGTTGTTAATGCACTGTCATGCTCCACCACCATGGATTAGTAAACAACGAAAGAATAAAACAAAAAGTAAAATCAATGACCATAAAATTGGTGGTGGTTAGGGGGAGGGGGTAAACTAATTCGAACTCATACTTACATGTACTCTTAACACTAAAACTCCTAAACCTAACCCTAAATAATGACATACCGGTAGTCATGATAGTAGGGGTCACCACACTTAATACTACAATTAGTTTTTGCTGTTACATGATCCAGTTACCCTACCTGTTCATATATTGAATGACAGAAAAACATATCCTATCATATATTTTTTGATAAAAAAATACACCTGTAGGCTGTAGCTATTATGATTAAGCTATTTCATAGGTAGAAAAATAGATTTGACAAAATATATTTTAAATTATTTCTGACCATGATGGCTGGTTTTAATTGCATCTGTGAAGCTTTTGATTTAATCAACAATCTGATGATATATTTTATCTCAATCTCTTCAACCTTATCATATATTTTTTAAGCTCGAAAAGTGATCTATTCCATTGACTCATCAGTTCCACTCGTTTAATAATAAGTGCCCCCTTGGGAAGGCAAAATGCTGTACATCGAACAAGATTTTGCATTTATCCCCTCAAAGAGTTTTTGGGGAGGGAATACTATTTAATAACTCATAAATTGCTCTCACTTCTTTCAACCTTTACAAAAATCTCAAAGCAACAATTCATTTACATTAAATTAAATGTACATTTATCAGAAAAACACTTTCTAAAAATAAGAGTCATTTTGTCATAGAAATGGGTGATTACACATGTCAAGGGTTAAATGCTGACCAATAAAACTTATCTGTACTTTTCATGAATAAAATGTCAATCAAGTAGTTGTTACTTGATTGACATTTTATTCATGAAAAGTACAGATAAGTTTTATTGGTCAGCATTTAACCCTTGACATGTGTAATCACCCATTAATATTACAAATCATATACAGCCACGTCTTATGCCTTTCGTGCATTAAATAGGTTAATTTGAAAAATGCTCTAAACATGCACAGTATATATGTAACAAATAATAACGAAGTGACTTTCAATTAAACATATTTATTAATCATATTTTGACACAAAAAACTGGAAAAAGGATGTATGAATTCAATGAGGAAACGAAAAAGGAAGGTCAAGGTCATACAAAAGCACAATGTACAACAGTTACTAATCATGCTAACATGCATTGTATTCCATGATACATTAGGTTATTTTCTCAGGTTACTTTCAGGGGAGAAGTTATATATCTTGCTGTGTCTGTGTTTGTTTTCATGGTCTTTTAATAACAATGCATTTTAATGGACATTGAAATATTTGTTTAGAGTAAAATTTAAAATCAATTGGGAGCATATAAAAAATTTCCAGAAATGTGTTATCATGGTTATGTGGGGGAAAAAAATCTATTCAATATACCGGTACCACAGTAACTAGCTTGCATCATACATGTCACATATGTTTGATAAAAATAATGAAAATCAATAACGAGATTAGTAACAGACACTTATACATGTTATATTTACTTTAGCAGTGATAGGAAAGGGAATCAGATCTCAAACAGCTCTTATCATGCTCATCAAGACTCTTTAACTCATGTAGATTGAGAATATACTGGAGCGCTATATCTTTAGAACCCTGTGTACTAACCCACTTGTTGACATCACTCTTATAAACATAAGGCTTCAATAACTTGATGAAATTTCTAACATTTTTATGGTAATTTTAGATGGACTTTTGCCATGTGTACTTAATTCTTACTATCATGACTATACTAGTAAAATCATTTGTAAAAAATTTCAGTTTTTAAACAGAAAAGATGGCTATGAGAAATTTGGTGGAGGGGGAATGTGGTGGATCAAATTCACTGATGAAATTGACGTCACATTTCACACAGGATAGAGGATTACGACAGGTATATCTGCTAAATATAGAATGTTCTCAAAAAAAGTGTATTGCAACATTTTCTTATTACTTGTATAGCAAATAAATAATTAAAACGGAAAAATGATAGTTAACAGTTGAAGTGATGATTCATAAATATGTATTGAAATAAATTCTTTAATTTGAACATACATTGTACAATGAAGTAAAGATGTACATTTTGTATCTGTCTTTGTCAGTGTTAAAACTAAACACAATTTTAGTTTGTTAAGTGTTACATCATATGTATATAATTTGATTTGATTGATAAGTTATAAAAATTAGTTCGATTTTCCTATACCTTTTATTGCTTTTCATTTATTTTTACTTTGTAAAATATTTAGAAAAAAATAATAATTATTTATTTACAGGAAAACTTCAGTCATGGAAGAGTCCAACACCCACAGCAAATGGTAGTATTATCTAGTGTTCAGTTTTTAAATCATTCGCCATGAATAAAACCTTTTACATTCGAAAACTTGCAGTTAAAAGTCATATCAAGTTCTCAACAAAAAAGACTATATATGCAATCAATATTGAAAAAAAGACAACACAAATCTGGTTGCTTTTTGAGAATAATTAATCTGATTAGATAATGTACAGATATCATAGAGGAATTAGTAATTATACTTTTCAAATCCAAAATTCAAATTTCATTTTATATGCTTTCATCAAATAAAAATGATATTAAATTGTTTTTAAATTTATTGAGCAGTACATTAATAAATCATATTTGGCATGAAGTAAATATAGTATATTTTGCAGCATGGTAGACCAATAGGACAGTCAACAGAAAACGAGGTAAGTAAATATAAAGTATCAGGGGCAGATCAAGCCTTTTTGAAAAGGGTGTTTTAAACCTGGGAACCTCCCTCTAGATCCGCCAATGAGTATGGCTTATCAGGTTTTATTTTCTCATCAAGTTTTGTTCAAGGTTAGGGCCTTAGAAGGGGCAATAAGATATGTGCTGTGTTCATTTTACACTTTTCACAGCATTGTACAGCATTTAAATGGATAGTGAAATGTTTACATCTGTCAAATTTTGCTGTTAACTGGCTGCCACTTACATGACTAACAAAACGGAAAATTTAACAAACGTAAAATTTCTGATATACCAGTATTGCATCATATCTTAACCATTGGAAGTTCTTTGGTTGATTGCTGTTCTGAGCATGTAGTTGTACACTTCTTGCTGATCATTCTAATAGTCAGATTTGATGAGCCATTTTTTGGTAATTTTTTGGCAAAGGTTCCATTTTGCTCATTTCTACCGGTAAATATGAATTCATACAGCAGATTTTTAAAACCATACGCAAAAACATTTTAACAGGTTGAACATGTTCTGAATAATGGATATCCAACCAATAACATAACATTATTTTCATTTTGGTGTGCAGACAATAAAGTTGCTCTAAATCCTGCAGATTGAAAACAAAATGATTGCCCACAAGTTAATTAACTTTTATTGACTTTTAAATTTTGTGTTCTTGTTTCACTGCTTTGAATAAGTATCAATATAGAAATTAAAAAAATCATGACTGCAGGTCTGTTTATATTTATAATGTTTCTCCCAACCAAATTTTGATTGATTTTTGTACTTTTTAAAGGAGAAAAAACAGTTTCAGTTTAATTTAAAAAAAAAGTTAAACCTATTCTTAAATTTTCTTTTAATTCTACATTTTTTACTCAGGGTTTATTTTTCTAAGAGCAAAATATCCTTACCATCATGGTCATACTTGGAATTCACATCTGCAAACCACTAACTCTGAACATTGTAGTAAGCTTTTGGTTCCTGGTTTATTTAGTTGATTATGCTTTGTTATTTTGTATAGTTAGTAGATGAGTTTCTGTCAAGTCAGAGAATTACAATGGCTCCACAGACATTCCACATGGGCGGATTACTCCAGGAAATGAGAGAAATAGAGGAATCTGAATTCAAATACACACCTGAGAGAGGTATAAACCAGTGAAATGTTCAAATATGCATTAGAAAGATTTAAATTTCGGAAATCACACAAAAATTGTTAATTCCAATATACATCTAACATACCAGAAAAATTTGTCAATCAGCTGCTAAGTCAAACACACATTACTTGTTGATAAAGCCAGGTCTCATCTTACAAAGGCATTTCTTGTTGATAAAGCCAGGTCTCATCTGATAAAGGCATTACTTGTTGATAAAGCCAGATCTCATCTGACAGAGAAATAAATCAGTGATGAATTTAATACATATTTGGAAAAGGATTTGAAACATGCTTTTCTTAATGGTTATGAGGAATTATCCATTCAAATCTTAAGAAACTTGTATTTCTGTAGTTCCCCTATACCCACAAAATCCACAACAAAATAAATATCTCTGATACAAATAATGATGAATCACAGTATTAGATAAGCAAGAATCTCTGTAATTTCTCATTTCAGCTCCAGCAATAGCAGAACTTGCTTCGTCAGACTCATGGGCTCAGGAATTCCTCACAACAGAAGCTGACAGTCCATCAGAGAAATGGTCCAGTGAATATTTATCAGAGAAACCCACACAAATTTTAGCTCCTACTAACCTTAAATGGGCTGAGGAGTACTTAGATCAGACAGAAGCACACACTAGACCATGGTTATTAATTATAAAATTAATTTAAAATAATGTTGTTTCATGATAATTTGACAGAAATTTGTTTAAGATAAAAAGAAAGTATCCAATGTAAAAATTGTCTGTAAATTATCTGCAATTTCTCTGTATTTTGGTGATCAACAAATCAACATAAGTCATCTTCAAACAAAGAAAGATACCTTTCACTCATACTCCATAGCATTTAAAAATATGAATAGATAAGCTTTAAAATACATTAATAGAAAATTAGGAATGATCCATAAAGACCAAAGGACAAGCTAAGAACAATTATAGGTAACTGTATAAAGTCCTTTACCCATACTGTATAGAAAATTATCAAAGTGACTGGTATGATAAAAGGTTAAACAATTCATAAAAGTAAAACAACAACCTGATTTAATTCACAAGGGATATAAAAAAAAAAAGCATTTGAATATATGAGAAGGCATTTAATTACAGGGAAGAAGAATTTAAAGAATTGGATGACACAAAATGGTTGGATGAATTCTCCTCAGAAAGGGAACAAAATAAAGAATTATCAGATACAGCCAAGGAATTGTTAGGATCTGTTAACGATCCCAAGTTCAGTAATTCTGAAGTAAGTTTAATAAACCTATCCACAAAGTTTTAATGCTTTTGTTTTTTTCTTCAAAAGTTGTGAGTCAAATATTTTTCTGATTGGCTGATTTATATAAGGGTTATTTAATCTATTGCAAATAAAGTTATTGTCTTGTCTTGACCGAGTCAAAAAGCTAGACATAGATATGTTGTTTCTGGCAGCAGCAGCGATGGCAGTATCAGCAATGTACTGTAAATTCAGAAATTATTGCGATGTTTTTATTATTGCGAAAAATGCGACAGGGTTATAATCGCAATAATTTAAACTTGTATTTTGAAATTTTTTATATGAATTAAACAGGATTTTTCTCAATATCGCAAAAATTAAAATCACATTTTAGTCTTAAATGACAAAATCACAATAATAAATGCATGCAATAATTTCTGAATTTACAGTATTACTTTGTGATTGGGTCAGTTTATGGGGAACCACTAGTGGAAGGTCAATGATATTTGGTATGCATTTGTTTTAGCATTGGCACATCTCATTTCCATGGAGATTATTTGGCCCTGCCCTCTCAGTCATGGTCTATTGACTTTGAAATTTTTACTTAGTTTACATGTATTAAGTTTGTGAATAGGTTGTTTTATGGGGAACCACTTGTGGTAGGTCAATGATATTTGGTATGCCGTTGTATTAGCATTGTCACATCTCATTGCCATTGAAATTGTTTGGCCCTGTACCTTCAGTTATGGTTCATTGACTTTGAATATTTTGCATAACTTACATGTTAAAGTATTGCTTTATTATCAAAATAACAAAAAGGCGAGACATATCTCTGTATAAACAGTTTATTTTTAATCAGTTAATCAGAAATTTAATGCAAATTATTTTGTCAGTAAATTATTTATTTGTTCTATTCTGCATGACTTTTACTTTGCATGTAATTACACCCTATCTTCAACTCCCTTTCTGCTGCAAAAACTGCACATGCTTTAGCACATACTAACTTATTGAATTAAAGATTTCAATTACATCCTTGGGTCAAATAAAGCAAATTCTACTGGCCCCCTGGCAAGAAAATATTACTCAGGCCAGCTAGACCAAAAATTATTTTCCTGTAGTGCTAGTTAATCTGATTATGGTCCGTTATTTAAGGGCAAGTAAGTTTAATTTAAGCAGTGACTTGCCTACTTGGTTAGTTGGAGAAAGAATTTAATTGCTACTCTTAATAGTATATTGCAGACTTTAACTGAATAAATGGAAGATAGATTCTAAAAAGCACAGATCAATTGTCCTCCATTCAGTAAATATTTTTAAAAACTTTAAAAGATGAAAGACAATTTAGCCTTTTTTACATGTATAATGAAAAATTCATTCAAATGCTTATAATTATTAATGATGCAAAATAATGGGAAATAATCACATTAGAATGGTTTTAACATTTGAATGCTTCATTTTTGTGACATGACTGAAGTTTAAATAGAATGATTATATTTTAATGTGGATGAAAGGTGTTACCATTGGACATTCACAATATCAAAGTTTTGAATAGTTAAGCATTTTCATAAAATAAAATTTAACACATAAAAACTGGTAAATTACTGAAAGGAACAAGGATGAGAAATAAATGCTTGAAAATATTAAAATAATATTTGGGTAATGAATTTCTCATTATTTTGGTAGAGATTGTTTTGAAAGAATTCATAAGTACAAATGTAAGAAAGTGTAAACAAATATCCAGAATTGCATATATTTTGTCAGACCTATTATAATAGGAAATTACCAGGATTGGAAAGATCATCTAAAATCTGTACTCAAATGTATCTTTTAAAACAAATATGATAAAAAGGGGAAAAAATGAAGGGAATGTATAAGGTATAAATAAATATTTTTTTTTGTAGGGGGGGGGGGGGGGGGGGGCAATTTGAAACAAGACTAGACAACACCCTTTAAAGCATGAAGATTAGGTGTGAATTGTTTATTTGAATATTTACTTTCATTGTTAAGTTGACATTTAAACAATAATAACAGTAAGAAGCGTCTTACATCATAGATATAAATTGTGTCACACGGCCTCAATGAAAAAACGAGTCCTGAATTGTTTGGAAGGGGGTGTTCATTGCCCTACCTAAGATATGACCTATTAAACAAATTGGCCAATAATTTCAGTATATGGTTGATGTACTAAGATGACTTAAAATTTTTCAAGGTCTGTTTAATAGAAAATAAAATTCTTGTTGTAGGTGTTTCAAATCCATATCAGGTTTTTTTCTTGATCATGCCTGTTTCACAAATATTTTTTTAAAAGTTTTGACATTTAATTTTTGTCAACAGTTTATGAAGTTTGTGAAGCGGATAGGGGATGGAGAAATTACTATAGAGAATAATGATGTGATAGAATTGTCCCAACAAGACAAGGCTGAAGATTGGGCTCAGGAGTTTTCTGTAAATCAGGTATTTTCCAATGTGGCCCTAGTTTCAAATTAAGCATTGAAAATAAAAATTTCTACTAGTAAGACAAGAAATGGATGGAAAGTGTAAACAAATATTGTATTTACTATATAAATTTTTAAAAGGAAATGAAGGGTTTTAATGACTTAACAGTCTGTCATTGGTACCTGTCATAGATATTGTCCATAGACTTCAGACATTGACATGAATTTTGGGGATATTGAAGGCCTCTCTTTCATTGACTCTACACTTTTCTCAGTTAACATGATTAACTTAAAACTACGGAAACAAATATCAGAAACAAATTTTTTTTTTCTTAAAGGAACTGAGTCAGCTGTTAATAAAACCAAGTCAATATTTTGAGTGATATAGTTTCATACTATGCATATAGCATTGAAACCAAAGCTATGTACAATGCCCTATGGCCTGCTGTTGCTCCTTTTCTGGCTCTCTGCTTACTTTTATCTGCACATTTCTTACCTTTCCCATGTTGGCTTTGGATTTCACTTTTTTTCATGTTTTTAGCAGTATAACTTACATTTAAAAACATTTTCAAAGTTCTTTTTATTTTATATAACACATGTTACAGGTTATGGTATATTGGAAAACATTTTTTATGATTATTTGTTTTACTGCCACTCTAAGAGAGTAGGCTATAAATAAATCTCCTTGTCTGTCAGTTTGTCTGTTCATCTGTACATCCATTTGTCTGTCTATTTAGTTTGTCAAAAAATACTTGCATCAAATTTTTCTCAGGGAATTCTGATCAGAACGACTTCGTCAGCTTTTCAGTGACAAGTTGTTATGTTAGAGCACTTTTCTGATCTGTCATACATCTACTTCCTGTTTGTTGATATTTTGAATTTTTAAATACATTGAATGATTTTAACATTTTCATTACACATGTCTCAAATAGGGATGACATTTAATGTGTGAGTTCTCTCCAGGTCTGTTAGACACCTACTTCATGTATTCCAATACTTTGTATAAGAGTGGGGGTAAGCTAAATAAGACAGTGTGTGTAATCTTTTGTTAAAATTGTTATAATTTCCAATACATTTAATTTGTGTTTTGGTATACCTATCTTGTATAAACAAAGACAACAACTAACAAGGTTTTTGGAAAATGACGCTATCAGCGGCATGTTTCCGATACCATTGACCAGACCTAACGGAAGTTGATTATGCCTCCGCCTACCGCACTCGGTTTCATATTTACTATTTTACATACTAACTGGAATCTGCTTGTATTACGCTACACTCGAACAAAGTCTTTGTTAAAGTGTTGTAGTCGGACAGGAACCAGTTTACATACGTTATTTTATTTACCAAAAAGATATCTTGACCTGTCCATATGTTTTTTGTTATTAAATGGTATTTGGAGCTATCCCTTTGTTATATTTTTCATATTTATTCGAGCTTTCACTTTTATGCACATGTCTTACAATCGTAATCGGTATGTATACATGATAAATAGATCCGTTTTGTTATGGTGTTGGACTTTTTACCCTCCAATGATCAGCAATCGCTAGACAAAATAGTTCTCCTAAATAATGTCAGCCTTTCATGCCATTTCAACTTTACAATCATTAAAAAAGTAATAATCGGAATCATTTTGATATCCATTGGATAGAAACTGGTCTTTAGCAAGATTTACGAAGATTTTAATAATCGGAAATTAGTAATACGGTTATACCCACGCGGTGCGTATGAATCTTTGTTCACAAAGTTATAACAGCAGAGTCTGTAACTGTATCATTATTAATTAACTACACTGTTATTGTACTTAAAATGATGGAAACTGCATATGCAATATAAGATGTCAACTCGGCCAATACAGATTTTTTTTCCGTATTGGCCGAGTTCTGATCCGGCCAAAACAGGATTTCGGAACGTCTCTAGTTTTTAGATCGTAAGTCACGATAAACTCAAACTGAAAGTAAACAGTTGTTTGTACGACGCAGTTTTTATTTACTCACCATAAACAAGCTGAAACATTCAGTATGGCATATATTTTAGGTTAAAGACGGTCCCATTCATTTGAAAAGCATTTTGAAAGTAGACGATGGAAATATTTCAGGTTTAGGGAACAAGTTCATTTCTTGACGACCTCATAATTTCATCATGTCGATTTTTACTGTTCACTTTCGCTTCTCATGTTTTGTAAACGGTCTTTTATTTTTAAGCCCGAACCAGGCATATGCATTCTGTAATTGCGCAAATCTTCGTTCTTTGGTCAATTGGCTTATGGATAGTTGTATCAATTTCAACTCTTACATTATTTTTTTTTTTAAATATATTTGCATTACACATGCAATGGCAGTACCTTTCCAATTACTATTTATGTGTTGTGTCTAAATTAAAGTTGTAACACTTTATAGTGACTGGAAAGGGTAGAAAAATTCATCAGATGAGAAAAAGCTGAAGATGCATGGAAACAGCACCAAATCATTAGATATTGCATCTTATAAAAAGAAACTGAGATTTGGATAGTTCCACTTCAAGGTAAAAATGTTTATCTCTTGTGAAATGAAATAAAAAAATATTGTAACACTGTAGTTAATTAATTAAGATACTATTACATGTATTTCTGTATTGGCCTTATTGTTGGTCCTCGGCCAGCAGTATTGGCCTTCGGCTTCGCCTCAGACCAATACACCAAGACATGGACCAATAACAAGGACAATACAGAAATACTTACGCAATAATATTATAGAATGACAGTATGGTTCAATAGCGGGAATCAGCCCCTCAACTACTTTTTACATAAATATTAACTTCTGGCTTCAACTCCTTGTTCGCCTTGTCTGGAGATCTTGTTGTAGTTCCAGTTAGGCAAGCATTTTAGAGACGTATCCCGTCCATCCTCTCTTGACTTGAAATTTCTGGTGATAGATTTTGCCGCTTGACGTTGTATCTTTTCAAGTTTGTTTTTTTTTTGTTACCGTGTAGGGGTCCCATACTATGGCTCCATATTAAATTGTAAGATCCATTCCTAAAGGTCTAGATCATTGTTCTAATCTGACACAAATTTCAATAACTGGAATGCTACCCGAGTTGAATATATGGTGACCTACTAGAACAGCATTATCACTATTGGAATTGTGTTTAATACCATGATTGTTCAATGTCATTAACTTAAATGGAGACAGACATTTGACCTGAAAGGTGGTGTGGGAGTGCAAAATCAAAAACTAACTGACTATGATATATGGTTAAAGAATGAATATCAATTACATGGGTCAACATGGTCAAGGGCAGAGTTGTTATGAAATAACAATATGGCAGAGAAGTGGTTTCAAGTTTCATATAAAGCGACCTGACTGACATGAAATAAAAAATCAAAGGAGTATCCCTATTTGTCTAATCTTCAAGGTGAAATAAAACTAGTAAAACAATATTATACTATTGTCTAAATCTACAGAAATATAATTTGCTTCAAGTAACAGAAATAACTAGGTCACTAGTAACTTATTTAATGAGTATGTGGGGTATAAGAGCTTGATAACAACAGGCTCTTCATAATCATTTGGTTTGAAAAGGATACTAGAAGTCTATATTCTTGATTTAGAAAAATGTAATTGCAAGACAAAAATCACATTACTTAGAATACTTTAGATCATTCAGGTAGTCTTTATTTATATGTACAAAAGAACAGCCAGTAGTCATTGGATATTGTAGATCATTCAAATAGTCTTGACCTATTTATTAGTACAAAAGAACAGCCAGTAGTCATTGGATATTGTAGATCATTGTGGTAGTCTTGACCTATTTATTTATAGAAAAAAACAGCCAGTAGTCATTGGATACTGTAGATCATTCAGGTAGTCTTGACCTATACATTTGTACTAAAAAAACAGCCAGTTGTCATCTTCACATAACACACACATATACGAATATCAATTATATGCTTATGAGACATGTTGGAATGTTAAACTAATTACGGTATGTGAAAATCAAGACTTGCATAAAAAATATCACAATATTAGAGACAGTGGCGTCATTTTTCCTCAGAGCTTTCAGCTCTTTGATTTAAACATTATTATTCATTGCTCTTTAAATGATAAATATACACATAGATTCTACCACTGCATCAAGTGTGATACGATAATTATCCACTTGAGACAGTTAAATTTTCAAATTTAAAAGGTGAGGCTTGCCGAGCCTTTTTAAATGTTCGGAAATTTAACTGTCGAGAGTGGATAAATATCGTATTGCACAAGATTTGGTGGTGAATTCTGTTTCTCTGATAATTTTTAGACGATATACAGACAATCTTAATCCTTTCGAATAATCTGCGAAGATATGTGTTCTTTCTATGTGTTAAGTCATCAGGCATGGTCGCCTTTTTTCATGAGGTCACAATAGGAAATTCAGAGGAAAGCAAGAAAATTTGACATCATAATCAAATTTTGACCAATTTAGAACTGAGATCAAACAAACCACACGTTGTTTAAATAAAAATAATCAACAGGTCAGGAAGAGGATAAATCAGTAAGAAATAGAAAAATATATATATAAAAGCAGATACTTGGGTATACATCTATTAGAATTGTAAATTTCTTAAATAGAAAACCCCAAAGACACTTCAAACAAAAGAAATAATTAGTTTTACAGTAATTGAAAAACTCTATGTAAAAATGTGTTGATGGGTTCAGACCATATTCAACAACTTTTTGTTTTGTATTCCAACATTTGTACTCTTTGTTTATTACTGATTTTTATTCGGTTATATCTTCTTGGTATTCAGTTTAACTAAATGATTGTGTTCTTTTTTAGGCTGGTAAATCATTAGTTGATCAGTGGGAAGATGAGTATGCTGAGATGACAGGGAACCAGGATGTAACAGATGAAAACTTCTGGGAAAAATTACAAAAACATTGGGAGGATGTCGACAAGTAAGATTTATAATGTATCAAGTTATAATAATTAATAACGTTTAGATGACATTGATTGATTGATTGATTGATTGTTGGTGTTTTAAAGCCACTTTTAAGCGCCACATTTGGGCTATTTCGTGGCGGCCAGTTTTTATTGGTGGAGGAAGACAAAGTTCCCGGAGAAAACCATTGACCTTAGATAGGAAAAACTGACAATCCTAGTCAATTAAGATTGGATTCGAGTGCACCAGCATGAGCGGGGTTCGAACTCTAGATGACATTGATCAATGTACACGGTTCTATAGGCTAGGATAAATAAATTGGTTGATATTAACAATTAATTTTGTTTCATGTATAAGGTTTTAGAATTTACATTGGCCTATAAAATTAAAAGACCTTTAGGAAATTAAAAAAAACAAAGAGTTATTATTTAGTCTATTATTTTGTCTTCAAAATAACTGCAGGCACATCCCTAGTAGTGACAAAATATCGGTAGTCAACCTGATGAAATGGTCAATCAGTGAAAGAAGGGGAAGTAGAAGAATCCATGATCTTACTCTTTTCTATTGAATGTCATAAATATGAACTGTAAATTCAGAATTTTTTGCAAACATTTATTATTGTGATTGTTGAATGTTGCATACAATAAAATGCTATCAAAATTCAAAATGCAAGTTTTAATTTTTTTCTGAAACCTTCCTGTCACAATTTTTGGCAATATAAATAGAAATGTCACAAACATTTATGAGTATTTATCACTGAAAGTTCCTATTATTTTTTATTTCAGAACTACAAATGATGGTCATCCATGGCTAACAGAATTTGAACAAACAGATCCATATAAAGTAAGTTACAAGAACCATCCCATCCCCTACAGTCATTTCTTAAGTACATTTTAGCATAGTCTCTTGTCAAAGGGACATATTAATTAAGGTATGAACTATCCATCTGTCCATTTACAGATCACAAAATGATTTGAAATTTTCTTTAGAAAAGAAAACGTTTTGATTATTGTCTGAATTGTTGTTTTTAAATTATGAGACTTTATAATTACAGAAAAATGGGTGCAATTTTCACATGTTGTAATATAAATCTGAGGGGAATAAAATAAATCAGAAACATCTCAACCAGTTGTGTTAGCATTCTTTATAATAATGCTGATTTACTTATTTGCTGATCTTAAGTCAAGTAGTTTTTATTTCAAAAATTTTAAAGAGGAGATGAGGCTTTTTTCCATCCTTCCACTCTATTTAAGATACATTTAATTGGCCTTGACTGATTTCCTGAAATTTGAACACATTTTTCAAATTGGAGATAGAAAGCTCCCTTGTCAAAAGATTTTAAGTTTGAAATACAAACAATATCAATACAGGTGGAAATAGATCAAGTGAAAAGTGCTAGATAAAAGAAAATGATCCAATAGATGACAATAGCAACTTGCATATAAAATAGATTTCAGAATATCACCTTTTACCTCTTGCTCTGTTCTGTTAAAATCTTTGAAATGTATTTTAATTCTTGACCTTTATTGTCTATATTTTGTTTTTAGACAATTAATGGAAAGGTATGGTACCCACCCTTATCCAGTATATATTCAGTTTCCAGCACAATCCTACAAGCACTGTCAAATGGCAGAAATTATGATAGCCAATGTTTTATAAAAGTTACTGAAGGCTGTAACAGCACCCTTATAAATGAACATGTTTATGATTTCCTTTCATTCAGTTCTCACTGATTAATACATATATTTTGACATTTTTTGGCATCTAAGGTTGTTTGTCATACAAGCCACTTAAAAAACCTTTGATATTTGCACACTATTCTAGTAAAACATATGTTGTAACAAACAATATTAATGTTAATGTTTAACACATTATGATAGGAATATAAATGTTAATCTGTATTTTATATAAATGAATGACATAAAAACCATTGAAAGTACAATAAATTGTTGGTTGTTAGTACAATAAAAAAATAAATACTGGAAAAAAAGTGGTAAATACAGCAGTGACTTGAAAGATCTGCGTCTGTATATACTGTATATACAGTTGCTACCTATTAGCTGGGAACAGTATATCTAACATATATGTTCCTGCTATTAGTACGTGATTTTAATACAAGTGAGATATTATATTTTACATGTGAGACTTTTTAAGTTACATGTGAATGATCCAGTGTAAAGAGCGACACTTAAAGAATACAGAATACAAAATACTGCCTCGAAATTTTTATTGAAGAGTTTTGTTTTAATACGTACTGGTATTTATACAGGAATATAAATTTGAAGAAGAGAATCCTTTGATAGATCATGAGAATCCATTCCAAGCAGGCTTAGATAAGTTACAGGAGGGAGATATACCTAATGCTGTTTTATTGTTTGAAGCTGCAGTGCAGAAAAATGAGCAACATGCTGAGGTACATAAAAGTTAGGTTACACTCCTGTAGTTAAAGGGGTTGGACCCCCTTCTGAAAAAAACTGATAGTAAAGACTATATAGATTCAAATTGAATTTTAACTATAAATGTCAAAGTGTCATGACCCCAAATAATCCCCATAAGAGACATCCTGGCTACGGGCCTGGGTTTCTATTATGAACTCTTGTAATCTGGAAATGTTTTGCAAAGGATTATTTTTGCTCAATTTTTGATTAAGATAAACTATTGAAAATTCCTCTCACATAAATTAGATCTTGAAGGAAGAATACAATCAGTGGCAAAAAATAACAGACTATCATAAACTAGTCAAAACATTTACTAAATTTTATCATCGGTATAAGGACATCATTCGTAAATATAAATCAGCATGCAGACATCTTATACGTTCGGGTATTTCACATCCAATCTTTTATGGTAATATTCTTTACAAAGCACAAAAATGTCAGTATTCACCTCAAAAGCTAACAAAATCTTTAAACAGACTTATTAAGAAGGGGTATAGTTACGATACTGTTGTCAGGTCATTAAAGATTGCATATTTTGGCTTTAATATTGATTCACTTATAGGGTCTTTGCATCGGAATTAAACATATTTATTATAAACCAGTTGTTGGCATGACACAGGTTATGTTCTTCTCATATATTTTATGACGGTATAATACTAAACCCCTAACAGGAGGGATTGTACCTGATATTCATATGATGAAGACATAATCTTTCAATCAGTTTACTTGAGGTCTGGAGCTGGCATGTCAGTAACTGCTAGTAGTCTTGTTATTTATGTATTATTGTCATTTTGTTTATTTTCTTTTGATTCCTATTCTGACATTGGACTCGGACTTCTCTTAAACTGAGTTTTACTGTGCGTACTGTTGTACGTTTGTTTTTTCTACATTGGCTAGAGGTATAGGGGGAGGGTTGAGATCTCAAAAAACATGTTTAACCCCGCCACACGTTTGCGCCTGTCCCAAGTCAGGAGCCTCTGGCCTTTGTTAGTCTTGTATCATTTTTAATTTTAGTTTCTTGTGTATAATTTGGAGTTTAGTATGACATCCATTATCACTGAACTAGTATACATATTTGTTTAGGGGCCAGCTGAAGGACGCCTCCGGGTGCAGGAGTTTCTCGCTGCATTGAAGACCCATTGGTGGCCTTCGGCTGTTGTCTGCTCTATGGTCGGGTTGTTGTCTCTTTGACACATTCCCCATTTCCATTCTCAATTTTATTTATTAGATATGTTTATGTTTTTCATACGACTGCAAAAAATTTTTGCGGTCATATATTGGTATGACGTTGGCGTCGTTGTTGTGTGTTAGTGTATGGATCTCTCTGAAATTGTACCACAAGGTTCCATATCACAAAGGGAATGCTGGAATTGATTTCGGGGGTAATTGCCTCAAAATTTAAGGAATTAGGGGCAAAAAACAAGCATTTTTCTGGTTTCATGACAATAACTTGTAAGTGTACGGATCTTTCTGAAATTGTACTACAAGGTTCCATATCACAAAGGGAAAGCTGGAATTGAGTTTGGGGGTAATTGCCCAAATCATTTAGGAATAAGGGGCCAAAAACAAGCATTTTTCTAGTTTCCAGACAATAACTTGTGTTCAAGTGTATGGGTCTCACTGAAATTGTACTAAAAGGTACCATACCACAAAGGGAAGGCTGGGATTGATTTTGGGGATAATTGCCTCAAAAGTTTAGAAATTAGGGACCAAAAAGGGGCAAAAAACAAGCATTTTTCTAGTTTCAGGACAATAACTTGTGTGTAAGTGTATGGATCATAATAGGTAAATTAAAAAATTTTAAGTTCTTAGACCACATCATGCATTCATTCTGTGTCAGACACCTATGCTGTGTCAAATATTTAATCACAATCCAAATTCAGAGCTGTATCAAGCTTGAATGTTGTGTCCATACTTGCCCCAACTGTTCAGGGTTTGACCTCTGCGGTCGTATCAAGCTGTGCCCAGCGGAGCATTTTATTTCTTTATAGTCTTATGTGGCCTTGCAGTAATTTAGATAGAAATTGAACACATTTATGTATATATTTTACAAGGACTTTACAGAATTTATGTACAACACATACTTTGAATAAATATTTTGATATATCATATTAGGCTTTGCAATATTGGTGTTCAACTTTGTGAAAAAAATAAGCAAATATATGTATTTATTTTAATCAGGCCTGGCAGTATTTAGGTACAACACAGGCAGAAAATGAACAAGAACCCGCTGCAATAGCTGCACTTAAAAAGTAAGTTATTTAAATATCAACTACAAAATCCTACAATAAATTATTTTGTTAGCTAGTTTCTAAGTTAAACTAACTCTTGAAATTAATCATGCTATAAACTATGATGTACTTCAGTACAATAAATAGCTAGTTAGTAAATTATACTAGCTCAGGAAATTAGTCAAATACTATAAACTACAATGAACAACAATAAATAACTAGTTAGTAAATTATACTAGCTCAGGAAATTAGTCAAATACTATAAACTGCAATGAACAACAATAAATAACTAGTTAGTAAATTATACTAGCTCAGGAATTAGTAAATAGCTCAGGAAATTAGTCAAATACTATAAACTGCAATGAACAACAATAAATAACTAGTTAGTAAATTATACTAGCTCAGGAATTAGTAAATTATACTAGCTCAGGAAATTAGTCAAATACTGTAAACTGCAACGAACAACAATAAATAACTAGTTAGTAAATTATACTAGCTCAGGAAATTAGTCAAATACTATAAACTGCAACGAACAACAATAAATAACTAGTTAGTAAATTATACTAGCTCAGGAAATTAGTCAAATACTATAAACTGCAACGAACAACAATAAATAACTAGTTAGTAAATTATACTAGCTCAGGAAATTAGTCTAATACTATAAACTACAACAAACAACAATAAATAACTAGTTAGTAAATTATACTAGCTCAGGAAATTAGTCAAATACTATAAACTGCATCGAACAACAATAAATAACTAGTTAGTAAATTATACTAGCTCAGGAAATTAGTCAAATACTATAAACTGCAACGAACAACAATAAAATAACTAGTTAGTAAATTATACTAGCTCAGGAAATTAGTCAAATACTATAAACTACAACGAACAACAATAAATAACTAGTTAGTAAATTATACTAGCTCCGGAAATTAGTCAAATACTATAAACTACAACGAACAACAATAAATAACTAGTTAGTAAATTATACTAGCTCAGGAAATTAGTCAAATACTATAAACTGCAATGAACAACAATAAATAACTAGTTAGTAAATTATACTAGCTCAGGAAATTAGTCAAATACTATAAACTGCAATGAACAACAATAAATAACTAGTTAGTAAATTATACTAGCTCAGGAATTAGTAAATTATACTAGCTCAGGAAATTAGTCAAATACTGTAAACTGCAATGAACAACAATAAATAACTAGTTAGTAAATTATACTAGCTCAGGAAATTAGTCAAATACTATAACCTGCAACGAACAACAATAAATAACTAGTAAGTAAATTATACTAGCTCAGGAAATTAGTCAAATACTATAAACTACAACGAACAACAATAAATAACTAGTTAGTAAATTATACTAGCTCAGGAAATTAGTCAAATACTATAAACTACAACGAACAACAATAAATAACTAGTAAGTAAATTATACTAGCTCAGGAAATTAGTCAAATACTATAAACTGCAACGAACAACAATAAATAACTAGTTAGTAAATTATACTAGCTCAGGAAATTAGTCAAATACTATAAACTACAACGAACAACAATAAATAACTAGTTAGTAAATTATACTAGCTCAGGAATTAGTAAATTATACTAGCTCAGGAAATTAGTCAAATACTATAAACTGCAACGAACAACAATAAATAACTAGTTAGTAAATTATACTAGCTCAGGAAATTAGTCAAATACTATAAACTACAACGAACAACAATAAATAACTAGTTAGTAAATTATACTAGCTCAGGAATTAGTAAATTATACTAGCTCAGGAAATTAGTCAAATACTATAAACTGCAATGAACAACAATAAATAACTAGTTAGTAAATTATACTAGCTCAGGAAATTAGTCAAATACTATAAACTACAACGAACAACAATAAATAACTAGTTAGTAAATTATACTAGCTCAGGAAATTAGTCAAATACTATAAACTACAACGAACAACAATAAATAACTAGTTAGTAAATTATACTAGCTCAGGAAATTAGTCAAATACTATAAACTGCAACGAACAACAATAAATAACTAGTTAGTAAATTATACTAGCTCAGGAAATTAGTCAAATACTATAAACTACAACGAACAACAATAAATAACTAGTTAGTAAATTATACTAGCTCAGGAATTAGTACATTATACTAGCTCAGGAAATTAGTCAAATACTATAAACTGCAATGAACAACAATAAATAACTAGTTAGTAAATTATACTAGCTCAGGAAATTAGTCAAATACTATAAACTACAATGAACAACAATAAATAACTAGTTAGTAAATTATACTAGCTCAGGAAATTAGTCAAATACTATAAACTACAATGAACAACAATAAATAACTAGTTAGTAAATTATACTAGCTCAGGATATTAGTCAAATACTATAAACTACAACGAACAACAATAAATAACTAGTTAGTAAATTAAACTAGCTCAGGAAATTAGTCAAATACTATAAACTACAACGAACAACAATAAATAACTAGTTAGTAAATTATACTAGCTCAGGAAATTAGTCAAATACTATAAACTGCAACGAACAACAATAAATAACTAGTTAGTAAATTATACTAGCTCAGGAAATTTGTCTAATACTATAACTACAACGAACAACAATAAATAACTAGTTTGTAAATTATACTAGCTCAGGAAATTAGTCAAATACTATAAACTACAATGAACAACAATAAATAACTAGTTAGTAAATTATACTAGCTCAGGAAATTAGTCAAATACTATAAACTACAACGAACAACAATAAATAACTAGTTAGTAAATTATACTAGCTCAGGAAATTAGTCAAATACTAAAAACTGCAATGAACAACAATAAATAACTAGTTAGTAAATTATACTAGCTCAGGAAATTAGTCAAATACTAAAAACTGCAATGAACAACAATAAATAACTAGTTAGTAAATTATACTAGCTCAGGAAATTAGTCAAATACTATAAACTACAACGAACAACAATAAATAACTAGTTAGTAAATTATACTAGCTCAGGAAATTAGTCAAATACTATAAACTACAACGAACAACAATAAATAACTAGTTAGTAAATTATACTAGCTCAGGAAATTAGTCAAATACTAAAAACTGCAATGAACAACAATAAATAACTAGTTAGTAAATTATACTAGCTCAGGAAATTAGTCAAATACTATAAACTACAACGAACAACAATAAATAACTAGTTAGTAAATTATACTAGCTCAGGAAATTAGTCAAATACTATAAACTGCAATGAACAACAATAATAAACTAGTTAGTAAATTATACTAGCTCAGGAAATTAGTCAAATACTATAAACTACAATGAACAACAATAAATAACTAGTTAGTAAATTATACTAGCTCAGGAAATTAGTCAAATACTATAAACTGCAATGAACAACAATAAATAACTAGTTAGTAAATTATACTAACCTAGGAAATCAGTCTTTCAATCAGAATGTACAATTCTCCTTTAGGTTACCCTTCCTGCCAGAAGTACAATTCTTCTTTAGGTTACCCTTCTTGCCAGAAGCACCTGCATCACACTTGAACATCAGCTTCCTTACCTGCTTAGTTCTCCAATTTGCCATGAAGTAAAAGTGTAGGGATTCTGATAGCTGATGTTAGCTTTATGAAAATTCAGAATTAATAGCTGTAGAATGGGAAAAGTGTTTACATTAATGAAAATAAAACTTTTTTCTGAGATTTGGGAAAGGGATTGAGAAAAGGAGAGGGGCAGTAGGAGGGGGTGTCATCCCTATTCCAGAAGAAATAAAGTATTCTCTCCTGGATCCTGAAAAATTAATTATTAATTCCAGAGTCCTGATAAGTTTAAATCCTGAATTCCCGTGATAATAATGGCCCAATACCCAAATTCTGGCAAAAATAAAGACCCAATACCCAAATTCCTGCAAAAATAAATGCCCAATCCTGATGTTCGAAAAAAAGGTCCTTACACCCCTCAAAGGACTGTTCTATAGATTGATTATTTGTTAAGAAGATGAATATGAAATGAATAAGAAATGGGTTTGACATCGGACTCGGACTTCTCTTAAACTGAGTTTTACTGTGCGTACTGTTGTACGTTTGTTTTTTCTACATTGGCTTGAGGTATAGGGGGAGGGTTGAGATCTCAAAAAACATGTTTAACCCCGCTGCATTTTTGCGCCTGTCCCAAGTCAGGAGCCTCTGGCCTTTGTTAGTCTTGTATCATTTTTAATTTTAGTTTCTTGTGTATAATTTGGAGTTTAGTATGACGTCCATTATCACTGAACTAGTATACATATTTGTTTAGGGGCCAGCTGAAGGACGCCTCCGGGTGCAGGAGTTTCTCGCTGCATTGAAGACCCATTGGTGGCCTTCGGCTGTTGTCTGCTCTATGGTCGGGTTGTTGTCTCTTTGACACATTCCCCATTTCCATTCTCAATTTTATTGGGTTAGGGCTCAAAAAAGGGGAATGACTTTTGACTGTTACAACAAATACATGGAGGGTTTTGTAGAGTTGTAAATTGTAGCAAGTCTTAAATAAAATTTCTTTCAATGAATGATGTTGGAGGATGTTTTCTTTCTCGGACCCCTCTCCTAACAAGACCAATCATAAAATTGTAATTGATATTGTAGTTCTATCATTAACTTCGATTAATCATGAGTATTGTTTTATTCAGTATGCTTGATTGCATATATTTCAGATGTCTTTTGAACCTTAATTTTCTGTCTTTTCAGATGTTTGGAATTGAACAGTTCAAATTTAACAGCACTAATGTCCTTAGCAGTTAGTTATACAAACGAATCGTTAGCTGGACATGCATGTCAGACTTTGAAATTGTGGTTGAAAAATAATCCTAAATATTCACACATGGTACCAGGTGAAATTGCTCCTACACTTGCTCCTTCCTCATTTGTATCCAGGTAGAATTTAAGATTATTACGATCATATTTTATATATATTTTTTTTACAATATTCATGTAAAGAAAATCTGATAATTTGTTTATGTTTTGCTTATTTTTCTTTTTACTTTTATCAGTCAAGAGATAAGAATCTTAGTTATGAATGATAAAACCATAATTAACATTTACATATTAAACTGATCTTAAGTTATTTAATCGATAAAGTTTTAAAACACTTTTAAGAGTTCATGTCTAATTTTTGATGAAATTGTGGAATTATTTTCCTGTTAAAGATCAGTTATATAAATACCTATCCAAACAGTCAAGTGAACAAAACCTAAAGATTATAAAGCATTGAATAGCTTGTGTAAAAACAATAATGCTTAAATGAGATTCTTCATCTCAAACAAGGAAACTCGCATGCTCAGATCAAGGTTAGACAAAAGTCCAAAACTCAATAGGAATTTAGAAATCCAAGATGATGTGTATAATTTAAAACATTTGATTGTGGGGAAATTTACTAGTTGAAATTAGACTTGAAAGAATGTATACTTGAAAGATTCTTAAAACAGATCACCTATAGTGTTTTCATAGAGACTTGGAGTATAGATTCCTTAATATCCACAGTTCTCATGTGAATTCTCAATGTAAGAACATCATCTTGACAGAATGCTTGCTGTGTATTTATACATCTTACTAATCAAAACAGATACTTTGTTTGGAAAAACTATTGAACTTGGTCTTTTTTTTTGTAGTTCTGATCACACAGAAGTACAAGGTCTATTTATAGAAGCTGCTAGAATGTCCCCTCAAGAGATTGATGCAGATGTGCAGGTAATGATAATATAAGTTGTGCTTTTGGCCAATCAGAGAAGAGATTAATGATATTTATTTAAAAAATATCTACCAATCTTGTGTATGCTTATCAAAATATATAATATTTGTGCAATTACTGGAGAAACATTCAACCAATGCTTTTTACCGTTCTGGATTTATGGTCAAGGATTGATAAGAAAATAGTACTCTTATGCAGTTTCCACATAATAACTTATGGTTATCAAATTCTAATGTGTTGTGTCTGATGACAAAGAGTTTGATATAGACAAATTTTGTTTTGCCATTTAGGAGTTATGGTCCTTGATTGATTGAAAAACTGTACTTTATGTCAATTCTGTGCGAAACTTGAGAATGCTTGATCCAATTCTTTTCTGATTTTACATATGTAGTTTTTTTGTCAGACTAAACAGAGGTCATGATTGGTTTTGACATTTTTCATTTTTGTCATTCAGGAGTTATTGCCATTGATTCCTTTTACAATGAAACTAATAAATGTCAGACAAACATGCTTGCTGTCATTTTGATGGCATCTTGTTATATTTGTTTTGATGTAATCATCTAAAATAAGCTTCTGCTTTTATCTAAAATTCTTCAAAGATACATATTTTTTGCAGAATGGACTTGGTGTATTATTTAATCTGAGCGGCGAGTATGATAAAGCTGTAGATTGTTTTAGTGCAGCTTTGCAAGTTAGACCTAATGTAAGTACTCTGGGAGAAGACTTCATATGTTTGATTAACTTGTGACTCATCTCTTATGCATATTTAAGCAAATAAAATATATTTTAACCTAGTGTTGAAAAATTTAAACCAAGTTTAGGTACATAGCAGACAGAGTTTTGACAAATTAAATCAAATTTAGAAGCACGTCAGACCTAGTGTATGTTGTAAACTACAATAGATAAAAACAAGTTGGATCTATTATATAAGGTAACTACAATAGATAAAAACAAGTTGGATCTAGTGTATACGGTAACTACAATAGATAAAAACAAGTTGGATCTAGTGTATAAGGTAACTACAATAGATAAAAACAAGTTGGATCTAGTGTATACGGTAACTACAATAGATAAAAACAAGTTGGATCTATTATATAAGGTAACTACAATAGATAAAAACAAGTTGGATCTAGTGTATACGGTAACTACAATAGATAAAAACAAGTTGGATCTATAATATAAGGTTACTACAATAGATAAAAACAAGTTGGATCTAGTGTATACGGTAACTACAATAGATAAAAACAAGTTGGATCTAGTGTATACGGTAACTACAATAGATAAAAACAAGTTGGATCTAGTGTATATGGTTACTACAATAGATAAAAACAAGTTGGATCTAGTGTATACGGTAACTACAATAGATAAAAACAAGTTGGATCTAGTGTATACGGTAACTACAATAGATAAAAACAAGTTGGATCTATTATATAAGGTAACTACAATAGATAAAAACAAGTTGGATCTAGTGTATAAGGTAACTACAATAGATAAAAACAAGTTGGATCTAGTGTATACGGTAACTACAATAGATAAAAACAAGTTGGATCTAGTGTATACGGTAACTACAATAGATAAAAACAAGTTGGATCTATAATATAAGGTAACTACAATAGATAAAAACAAGTTGGATCTAGTGTATACGGTAGCTACAATAGATAAAAACAAGTTGGATCTAGTGTATACGGTAACTACAATAGATAAAAACAAGTTGGATCTAGTGTATACGGTCACTACAATATAAAAACAAGTTGGATCTAGTGTATACTGTAACTACAATAGATAAAAACAAGTTGGATCTAGTGTATAAGGTAACTACAATAGATAAAAACAAGTTGGATCTAGTGTATACGGTAACTACAATAGATAAAAACAAGTTGGATCTAGTGTATACGGTAACTACAATAGATAAAAACAAGTTGGATCTAGTGTATACGGTAACTACAATAGATAAAAGCAAGTTGGATCTAGTGTATAAGGTAAACTACAATAGATAAAAACAAGTTGGATCTAGTGTATACGGTAACTACAATAGATAAAAACAAGTTGGATCTAGTGTATACGGTAACTACAATAGATAAAAACAAGTTGGATCTATTATATAAGGTAACTACAATAGATAAAAACAAGTTGGATCTATTATATAAGGTAACTACAATAGATAAAAACAAGTTGGATCTAGTGTATAAGGTAACTACAATAGATAAAAACAAGTTGGATCTAGTGTATACGGTAACTACAATAGATAAAAACAAGTTGGATCTATAATATAAGGTAACTACAATAGATAAAAACAAGTTGGATCTAGTGTATAAGGTAACTACAATAGATAAAAACAAGTTGGATCTAGTGTATACGGTAACTACAATAGATAAAAACAAGTTGGATCTAGTGTATACGGTAACTACAATAGATAAAAACAAGTTGGATCTATAATATAAGGTAACTACAATAGATAAAAACAAGTTGGATCTAGTGTATACGGTAGCTACAATAGATAAAAACAAGTTGGATCTAGTGTATACGGTAACTACAATAGATAAAAACAAGTTGGATCTAGTGTATACGGTCACTACAATATAAAAACAAGTTGGATCTAGTGTATACGGTAACTACAATAGATAAAAACAAGTTGGATCTAGTGTATAAGGTAACTACAATAGATAAAAACAAGTTGAAACAAGTTGGATCTAGTGTATACGGTAACTACAATAGATAAAAACAAGTTGGATCTAGTGTATACGGTAACTACAATAGATAAAAACAAGTTGGATCTAGTGTATACGGTAACTACAATAGATAAAAGCAAGTTGGATCTAGTGTATAAGGTAACTACAATAGATAAAAACAAGTTGGATCTAGTGTATACGGTAACTACAATAGATAAAAACAAGTTGGATCTAGTGTATACGGTAACTACAATAGATAAAAACAAGTTGGATCTATTATATAAGGTAACTACAATAGATAAAAACAAGTTGGATCTATTATATAAGGTAACTACAATAGATAAAAACAAGTTGGATCTAGTGTATAAGGTAACTACAATAGATAAAAACAAGTTGGATCTAGTGTATACGGTAACTACAATAGATAAAAACAAGTTGGATCTATAATATAAGGTAACTACAATAGATAAAAACAAGTTGGATCTAGTGTATAAGGTAACTACAATAGATAAAAACAAGTTGGATCTAGTGTATACGGTAACTACAATAGATAAAAACAAGTTGGATCTAGTGTATAAGGTAACTACAATAGATAAAAACAAGTTGGATCTAGTGTATACGGTAACTACAATAGATAAAAACAAGTTGGATCTAGTGTATAAGGTAACTACAATAGATAAAAACAAGTTGAAACAAGTTGGATCTAGTGTATACGGTAACTACAATAGATAAAAACAAGTTGGATCTAGTGTATACGGTAACTACAATAGATAAAAGCAAGTTGGATCTAGTGTATAAGGTAAACTACAATAGATAAAAACAAGTTGGATCTAGTGTATACGGTAACTACAATAGATAAAAACAAGTTGGATCTATTATATAAGGTAACTACAATAGATAAAAACAAGTTGGATCTAGTGTATACGGTAACTACAATAGATAAAAACAAGTTGGATCTATTATATAAGGTAACTACAATAGATAAAAACAAGTTGGATCTATTATATAAGGTAACTACAATAGATAAAAACAAGTTGGATCTAGTGTATAAGGTAACTACAATAGATAAAAACAAGTTGGATCTAGTGTATACGGTAACTACAATAGATAAAAACAAGTTGGATCTAGTGTATACGGTAACTACAATAGATAAAAACAAGTTGAATCTATTATATAAGGTAACTACAATAGATAAAAACAAGTTGGATCTAGTATATAAGGTAACTACAATAGATAAAAACAAGTTTGATCTAGTGTATAAGGTAACTACAATAGATAAAAACAAGTTGGATCTAGTGTATACGGTAACTACAATAGATAAAAACAAGTTGGATCTAGTGTATACGGTAACTACAATAGATAAAAACAAGTTGGATCTAGTGTATAAGGTAACTACAATAGATAAAAACAAGTTGGATCTAGTGTATAAGGTAAACTACAATAGATAAAAACAAGTTGGATCTAGTGTATACGGTAACTACAATAGATAAAAACAAGTTGGATCTATTATATAAGGTAACTACAATAGATAAAAACAAGTTGGATCTAGTGTATAAGGTAAACTACAATAGATAAAAACAAGTTGAATCTAGTGTATAAGGTAACTACAATAGATAAAAACAAGTTGAATCTAGTGTATAAGGTATAGATAAAGATCTTCATTCAGAAAATTTGACTTTTTGATACTGTTTTCTTCATAATGTCCTTTATAATAAGATAATAACTAAATTCTAAGGTATTGATATACTGTATGTATCCGATATTATGATTAATTAATAGCTAGTGTATTTTTCATATATCGCACAGAATTTATTCATGTTAAACCCCCATTCTATTAACTTGTACAATCAAGTAGTATTTGTACAACTGTTTTACAGGATGCCTTGTTATGGAATAAATTAGGTGCTACTTTGGCCAATGGAAATAGAAGTGATGAAGCAGTTGAGGCCTACCATCATGCATTACACATATCGCCAGGTTTTATCCGGTCGCGATATAATCTTGGAATAGCATGTATAAATCTGGGAGCTCACAAGTAAGTAACAATTTTTATGCCCCCGCCGTAGCGGAGGGGGCATTAAGTTTTACCCTTGTACGTCTGTACGTACGTACTTACGTCCCAAAATTGGTTTCCGTTCTCTAACTTTAGTTTGCCTCAACCAAATGTTATGAAACTAATACACAATGCTTATTACCACAAATCACAGATCAAGTTTGAATTTTGGTGGCCTCACTTTTACCGTCCTAGAGTTATGCCTCTTTACAAATGGAAAATTGCTGAATTTATCGTTTCCGTTCTCTAACTTTAGTTTTCCTCAACCAAATGTTATGAAACTTACACATAATGCTTATTACCACAAAACACAGATCAAGTTTGAATTTTGGTGGCGTCACTTATACCGTTCTAGAGTTATGCCCTTTTATAAATGGAAAAATTGCTGAATTTTTCCTTTACGTTCTCTTAATTTAGTTTGCCTCAACCAAATGTTATGAAACTTATACACAATGCTTATTACCACAAAACACAGATCAAGTTTGATTTTTGGTGGCGTCACTTTTACCGTTCTAGAGTTATGCCCATTTACAAATGGAAAAATTGCTGAATTTTGTCGTTTCCGTTCTCGAATTTTAGTTTGCCTCAACCAAAGGATGTGAAACTTATACACAATGCTTATTACCACAAAACACAGATCAAGTTCGATTTTTGGTGGCGTCACTTTAACCGTTCTAGAGTTATGCCCTTTTAAAAATGGAAAAATTGCAAAATTTTTATTTTCTTCTAAATGTCAAAGTAATTTTTAAAATTGGAGTTATCTTCCTTTGTCCATGATTATAGTTGAATCAACTACAATCAATGCTTTATACAATGCAATGTTTAATTTTGACTTCCACTGATAAAACACAGATGAAGTTGAATTTGGGCAGTGTCACTTTAACCATTATTGAGTTATGCCGCTTTATAAATCGAAAGATTGCAAAATTTTTAGTTTCCATTCTGTAACTTAAGTTTGCCCCAACCAAACATTATGAAAACTATACACAATATTCATTACCACAAAACTAAGATCAAGTACAAATTTTTTGTTTCCGTTTTCTAACTTTAGTTTGCCTCAACCAAATGTTATGAAACTTATACACATTGCTTATTACTACATAATACAGATGAAGTACGAAATTTGGTGGCAACACTTTTACCATTCTTCAGTTATGTCCCTTTATAAACATAAAAATTGCTGAATTTTTCGTTTCAGTTCACTGACTTTAGTTTGTCTCAACCAAATGTTATAAAACTTATACACAACCGTTCTAGAGTTATGCATGTTTACAAATAGAAAAATTGCTGAATTTTTATTTATTATGTTAAACATATCACCAGGATAAACACAATCACATTTTAGCATGAGAGCTTGAATACAATGTATGGGAGGGAAGAGGGCTTAACAAATTAGATTAAAATTACAATGTGCGACAGATTGGACAGCATTATGCTAGAAATATTGTGTTAAGATCTAGCATTATGCCATACTCTTATCACTAGAGTTACAGTTAGTTCTGTTGGAGTTTAGCAAAGACTTACAATAAAAGACTCAATAAATGAGTTTAGTCCTAAAGTTTATTACTTTACTCATCCATAATAATTATACTCCTAGAAATCAGATTTAATCTTAATTTTTGTTTATTGAACCAAATACTCCCTCAAAGGCAAAGCTAATATCTGAACATTTTGAATTCTCTGGCCATGACTATATTAATTCTGCCACTACTTTTGAATGTCAACAATTATTAAACAATCCATATGGAGGCAAAGAAAACTACAGTGTTTCAGATGCATATTACTGGATTTTTATGTAAAAGGTGTCTTAAAGGGACATTAGCTACGAGATATAAAATAAAATAAAATATGATTTTTGTCGAGCCTTCGACTTTAGTCGAAAAAGCGAGACATAGCGATCCTACATTCCGTCGGCGTCGGCGGCGGCGTCCACAAATATTCACTCTGTGGTTAAAGTTTTTGAAATTTTAATAACTTTCTTAAACTATCCTTGATTTCTACCAAACTTGGACAGAAGCTTGTTTATGATCATAAGATAGTATCCTGAAGTAAATTTTGTAAAAATAAAATTCCATTTTTTCCGTATTTTACTTATAAATGGACTTAGTTTTTCTGCCGGGAAACATTACATTCACTCTGTGGTTAAAGTTTTTAAAATTTTAATAACTATCTCAAACTATCCTGGATTTGTACCAAACTTGGACAGAAGCTTGTTTATGATCATAAGATAGTATCCAGAAGTAAATTTTGTAAAAAATAAAATTCCATTTTTTCCGTATTTTACTTATAAATGGACTTAGTTTTTCTGCCAGGAAACAATACATTCACTCTGTGGTTAAAGTTTTTAAAATTTTAATAAATTTCTTATACTATTTTGGATTTGTACCAAACTTGGACAGAAGCTTGTTTATGATCAAAAGCTAGTATCTAGAAGGAATTTTGTAAAAAAATAAATCCATTTTTTCCGTATTTTACTTTTAAATGGACTTAGATTTTCTGCCAGGAAACAGTATATTCACTCTGTGGTTAAAGTTTTTAAAATTTTAATAACTTTCTTATACTATTTTGGATTTGTACCAAACTTGGACAGAAGCTTGTTTATGATCAAATGCTAGTATCTAGAAGAAAATTTTGTTTTCTTCCAGTTAACATTACATTCAGTCTTCAGTTAAAGTTTTTAAACATTTATTAGATTCATAAACTATCCTGGATTTTTACCAAACTTGGACAGAAGCTTCTTACAATCAAAAGATAGTATCAAGAGGAATATTTTTATTGATTTACTTCCTCATTTTTGTTGAGCCTGCGATTAACAGAAAAAGTAGGCGAGACACTGGGTTCCGCGGAACCCTTACGAATTTTTTTATGTTCAATCATTAATGAAAGTGAAATAGTGAAATCATAATTCGCTTTAACAGCCAGTTTGGTTCAGTTTTGTCAAATTAAGCAAAGAAACGTTGCTAATGAATTACTCACTTGCAAGTGAATAATACGACTTCATTGAATCCGTATTCATGTGAACTTTAATTGATAACTATAGCTAGAGATGGGCTAAGCATGAACTAGCCATGTTCAGTTATTAAATGGAAAAGAGTGTAAACATTGAAAGTGAAACAAGGGTTACCCATTTGGTTGACTGGTTAGATCTAGAAAAATGAAAAAACGATTATTAGCATATTTTTTTAACCTATAATATGAAATTAAACAGACTTAGAAAAATCCAATTGCACGAGTTAGCAATCTATTTACATCTATGTTTATGTTTATATCGGGTTATATGATCGTTGGCAGTCTTCAGAGGTCACCTCGATGGTTAATTAGATGGCGTCTAGACTAAAACACACACAAAATGCTGATATATACTATCCAGTCTATGCATTGTCAATTGTTTATTTTAGACTTTTTATAGGTTGCACTTTGTAAATACAGCTGTTTCTGAAACCACACCTCTTTTGGGGAGATATAGAATACTCATAGATAATTAATTTTGTTTACATACTGGTTACCAGTTATGATCTGTATGTTTCATCTCATAGAGACATAACTTGGGAATGTTACCAGTAAATATACATATGCATATTGTTTATATTGAAATCTGTGGTAATCCTACAGTCAAGGTAGGGATAGTTAAGAAATTTAGTGTTAGTTTAAACTCTTAGAAGTTTGGGGCATATAAACGTTGAAAATATGCCACACAGCCCTATATTTTGACCTTTGAAAAAAATTGTAGTGCATATGAACTTTTTATTCTAGGATATGATTTTTTTCAAAACTTCATAGTAAAAGTGGTACAGTTTTAGCTGTAAAAGGAGTTCCTATGGAAAATTGCATTGTCAATATTTACAGAAATGCAACCTATAATTTGGATATGCGTTTTAGTATGTTATAAGTCGAATATAAGAATTTGAGTCAAATCGGTGAACATGAATTTGACATCTAATGCCCCTTTAAGAATCTGAATGATATTTGCACTTAAAAAGAAAAATTATCTGAGTTATTGCCCTTTGTAAGATTAAACTTTTACTGCAACAAGAACTTTTGAATGATGTTCTTCTATTGGTTTGTATAGAGTCTTTAATTTCAATCTATGGCTTCTCCTTTGATTTGAAATTCCTAAGAACGTTCTAAATATTGCAGTGATAGGACGAAAAACTTCATATAAAAAAATTAAAATGCCATTGATAATTTTGCTTACCTAAGGAAAATCCCTGAAACTCCTAAATCACCTTTAATGTTAGAGATAATGTGATGTCTAGTTGTGAATCTTAAATTAATATTGATTTTAAAACACAGAAATTTCTTCTTAAGGACATTTCAAACCGAAGACTTCAAAAATTTGTTTGTGCTACCTCTTCTGCAAGAACATATAATATGGAATTGAATTCTTCATGCAAAAAGATTAAGAGGTATAATTGAAAATTCACATTTAAGACATTTCAAACCGAAGACTTTGTTTGTGCTACATCTTCTGCAAGTACATCTTATATTGTAAAGAAGTGGAAATTGATTGATGGATTGTTGTTTCCTTGTTGTCCAATCGTATAATTTCATGCTATTCAAGATGAGAACAAATAATTAATACAATAGGTAGATTCTGTAGGGTAGGGGTCAACAATGATGAAACGTAGAAACTGGCACTGGAAAACAAAAGCATTTTGGATAGGAACAGACCATCTACAGACCCCTCAGAGAATTGTTACAAGGGTTCTTTAATGTGTAGAGGGTGTAGCACTCTTTCTACATGTGGTGTCGGATTTAACATCCTCATTCTGACCACATTCTGACAACACGTGGCTGGGTATTTCTAAATCCCTACTATGGCAAGGGTTTTACTTCTAGATGAAAGAAGACCAAGGGATGACCATATATCTATACTCTAGTCAACCCTAGGCATTAATTGACGTAGACAAATGAGATGAAGAAAAAAGTAAGATGAAATGCCTGCCTTCATGCATGTAGACCAATACTATGAATACAAACTCAGCATGTTGGTGTAGTTCAAAACTAGATCTACATCATAATAATGTAATTTTGGATGTAACATGTCTTCTGATTGGCTGAAAGATTTTTATCAAAAAAAAAAATCTTTCAGCTCATAGACATAATTTTATCATGTGACCGTGACATCATTAACATTTTTTTCATGATTTACTACTTAAAAATGGAATTTAGAATTAAATTACTAGGAATGATTGTAGTATTTTTTCTGTCTTTTCGAAATAACATACAAAATGTGGTGCCCTCTTTTTAATAACACACTACACGGGTTATTAAGTGTGCACCCCATTTTTTATGTTATTTCTTCATTAAAATAAATACAGTCATTGCTTAAATTATTTCTTTTTATGCCTTTAACTAATCTTGATATTGTTATTTCAGTGAAGCAGTTGAACATTTTTTGACAGCTTTGAATATGCAGAGAAAGAGTCATGGATTGAAAGACCCTCAGTTAGTAATGTCGAAAAATATTTGGGGAACATTGAGAATGGCAGTTTCACTTATGGGACGACCTGATTTGTATGAAGTTTGTGATAGAAATGATTTAGACAGTTTAAACAGAGATTTTAACATGGAATCCTGATATCAACTAAATATGGGGGAACATTATACTACTCAGGAAAATATGGATTATTTACCCGGAGTTTTGAATTTGATATTCAAATAGATCCAGAAAAGTCAGATTTATGTTGAAAAATAGGTCACAGTGGCCTTGTGCACTTGGCATTTGATATGATACATTGAAAGGAATATCATCTTTCACCAAACATTGCAAGCATGTGATATTATAGTATATTTTAATTCTCTTTAAACTTTCTATGTTATGGGCCATATTTGAGAGAAGAGAGCGAGTTTTGTAATTCTATAATTGGAGCAATACCATATAATAACAAAGTTTGTTATTTTCAGTAGAAGTTAAGCTTTGCTAATAGGAATGAATCTGTGTGCTATTGATCATCTTCCAATGCAACACAAACATATATGCCTATTTTCACTAGATTTGACCTTCTTCATGTAGGTTCTTACACTTTTAATATTTGGGTAATAATATTTTCTAATGCAGTCATCTGATGCAACTATTTTTACAATGATTGCTGTCTTTTCACTCTATTTACTTTTCTTTTGATGAGAAAAAAATTCTTTCATTATGATATGATATCAGTAATAGCTTCATTCAAGTTTTATGGCACTAATTGTAGATGAGCTTGTATACATAATAAAATGTTTGTGCATGCATTTGGTCGAAAGCTGTGTGGTAGGATCTCTGATATAAGAACTGTTTCATCATTTAATTTGTTCAACCTCTCTGTAGCCATTGATAGTCATTAAAGAGGCACTTAGTGAGTCATTTATATGTGTAACAAACTAACTTTGTGCATGATATCTCATCATGATTTACATTTTTCTGGTATTCTAAAGTCATATACTGTGGATTCATTATTATTCGTGGATTTTGTGGGTATAGATGAACAATGAATTTTTTTGTTCAACCAAGGACAAACTATCTTTAGCTGTATTTGGCAAAACTTTTAGGAATTTTTGGTCCTCAATGCTCTTCAACTTCACACTTTATTTGGCTTTTTTATTTTTTTTTCATTCGAGCGTCACTGATGAGTCTTTTGTAGACGAAAAGCGTGTCTGGCGCAATTACAAAATTTCAATCCTGGTATCTATGATGAGTTTATTTCTATATGCTTATATGCAAATTTTGCCAAAACCATAAAAAATAAAATATCCACAAAATTACAATCATTCCTTTATCCACGAAAATAATTGAATCCAAGTAAAGCAACAATTTATTTATTCATTGGAAGACAATAATTCAGTTGAACCCCTTCTTCTTCCTGACCTTGCAATAACAAATGGTAATCATGAGCATTTGCATATGTTTGGTATTAAGACTATGGTAAATACTTCCATGAGGCTCTAATTTTCTCTTTATTTGCAGCAGGAGTTAAACCACAAAATTTAACTACCGGTATGTGAGCACTTGATTGTCCAATTTATGCATTGTACAATGCCTTTAAACATGAACAATGAAACATGATAAATATTTAACTGTCAATTCTAAGGCCCAAAACATGAACAAAACATGACACAAAAATAACTGATAGCTTGATTTACGTCAATACTATATAATAATGATAAATATGAAACAAACTGAAAAATTTTCTCTTAAAAAAAAGTTAACTGAGTTTGTAAGAGTGCATTAAAACTTTAATGAAGCTATATTGATATCATATAACTAAGCACAAAAAGACAGAAATTTAAGCACATGCATTATCACAACATGTAAAATTGCAATTGTATACATGCCTTTGTATATTTATCAAATAGTGATATGAAATTTTAATGAAGCTTAATTGATATCATCCAAATTTTGTATGTTCTTGAAACATCTGTTTTATCTAAATGAGTCAAAACTTTGGTATGCAATTAATGTTGACAGCTTAAACATCTATGATTGATATGTTATTAAACATGTTATCTTTGGTCTTCAATTATTTAATACAGAGTTGTTGAGAAACCACATAAAATACAAATGATTTACACTTAACATAAGTATCAGATATATTGTACATTTTTAGTAATTGATGCAATATGGTTCAAATGAGATAATCTCCAGTTTATCAAAATAAAATCTCAATAAGGAAAAGTACAGTCCATCACACATTTCAACTTCTACATGTCATATGAATGTCTGGTAGGTCCAATTCATAACTTTTTTTGCTGGTCCGTATGTGTCTTATTACCACTTGATAAAGAGTTTATATCATTCAAGTTTTGTATGTTCTTGAATAGGTGATTGTGTCAATAACATTTTTATATCCCGAGACTTTTATATATCATCTCTTCATATATAAGATAATAAAAAGATGGAAATTTCAGCTAATATTTTGATATTATAAATTGCTAATTTTTGTATTAGTTAATAGTTCTACTTTATCAAAAGAATCCTTTGATATTTGGTATAATGTTCAATTATATTGAATGGAAAGGTCCATTGTTTTTTTAATTAGTCTGTTTATATGTGTCATACAAGTGAGTGGTTTATCTAGCTATAAAACCAGGTTTAATCCACCACTTTCTACACAAGGAAATACCTGTTTCAAGTCAGGAATATGCCATTTGTTTTCCATTCCTTTGATGTGTTTGAGCTTTTGATTTTGCCATTTGATAAAGGACTTTCCGTTTTGAATTGTCCTTGGAGTTCATCACTTTTGTTATTTTAGTTTTTACAAAGCATGATCATTTTCACATATCACTAGTATGCTCTTATCCTATTTATGGTTGTTGATATCCATAGGTCATTAAAAATATTTGACACATGTAATTTGATTTGAAATTTTTTTCAGAATTTTGTCCCAGTCCAACACTTATATCCAGATATAAGGGCACATATTTTGTATGTGAAAATGTTTTTTTTAAAACTATTTAAAAACACCATTGACAGCTCATTATTTCATTAGCAGATGATTATGGGGATATGTGGTAATTTTTTTTTTATTGAAAGAAATTCTTTTATTTGTGGCTGATTTACAGATGTAGAAGTGTCCATTTTTCATGTGACTTGATAAAATATATGTCTTGGACGATAGAAGGTTAATCAATATTACCATAATAACATTGAACAGTGGCATTGTGTACAATCTAATTATATTGATGGATATCTTATATAAGCTTCCAATGGTATTTTCATGTAAAGACTGCCACCCTATTTGTAAAACACTTTGTTCATTGAGACTTATTGTGACATGCTTTTATCTTGTTTATGAATGATTGTTATAGAATATTGATTATTTCCATTAAATTATTTTTATACACCAATCTCGAGTGACTTATTATGTTTGAGTTGCACTTGTTGACTCAAGGTCAATCTGCATAAACAATGTCATCGAGCAATCGGTTCTTACTGGGACGTTATAACATAAGGATTGTGAAATAGGAAATTTATGGGAAAGTGCACAAATTAGAAAGTCGTCAATTATATGATGTCTTCATACATACATTTAATAGTGACTAATGTCTTGCCTGCCACACATATCACAGTATATGACATAAGTGTTACTTTTAAGCACTGACAACACCTGTTCTGAACAAGGATTTGTATAGTAAGAACTATACAAGTTCCTTGTTCTGAAGTATTGCTTTTTGGTCCATTTCAGACCTCCAAAAATGGCAGCCAAGGGGAATAACTTACACTCAAATTACCTCATATCGAAACCTATCTATTTTACTGTTCCAGGCTTTCTTTCAGATCTGATGGGTAGCCACTCCGTCTTTGATGATACTTTGAAATTTTAAAAAATACTGAAGATGGAGTTTTCCTCACAAATTTCTCAGCTTTTGTATAAAAGAATTATTTGATATTTTGTCTAGGACTTTATGATATCAGGAACATATATATTGACATAGATATATTGTTCCCAGATTATATTGAGTTGTAAACAATTTTCAGAATTTCCTGGCAGTCACTTCCTGTTTAAGGGTACTTTTTTGATAAGGTAATATATATACCTTCTGAAAATGAATTCGTTTGCCCATATCTTATAAGGAGACAAGGTAAACTTGATATTATGCACTGTTGATTCATTGTTGTTGGTAGTGTACCAATTTAGTTGATTTCATTGTTATAGTGAAACACTTAAATAAATGAATCCACAGTACATCAAGGGATAGAATATCAAACAAAATAGTATGTTCCTATGAATAGCTGTTTTGCTAGGCATAGCTGTTTCCTAGGCATATCTGTTTCCTAGGCATAGCTGCTTCCGCTGCATAGCTGTTTCCTAGGCATAGCTGTTTCCTAGGCATAGCTGTTTCATAGGCATAAGCTGTAAATTTCAAAGTATGTTCATTTTTTCTGTAGTTTTGGTATAAAATGACCCCTTTATGGACATATCCCTCTGTTAAATGTTTATTTTGAATAATAAAAATAACCAGTGCGCTCTTATATGCAATTACAGGTATAAATTTTTCAGCACAAGCCAGTTTAAGGTATTGTTTTGACATGAATTGACTGTCACTTTATTTAAACGTATTGTAATATGCTAAAATGGTTATGAATGCTGAACAATATAGACTTCGAATTAGAAAGCAATGGGACTTTGAATTAGTTGTTTAATTCCTGACACTAATGAACAAAAAACAGATATGAGAGACTTCAACAAACGACATCACTGGATTGCCCATTTCAGGCTTTGAATAGACACATGGAGAATGAGGTGGGATTTATTATGTTTGTGATTTCACAACCCTCTTTTCCTTGGACAGTGGCGTAACAACACAACACGAGAACACCCTTTAAAATCAGTTGGAAAGGGTTTCACCTTGATCATGGTCCTTATAGGTTATTTTAGCTCTTCAACGTTTGTATAGTTTTGGATTTACAAATATTAAGGATTAATATCTATCTATTCAAATCCTTGTAAATATTTAGACATCAAGCTTCACACTAGAGGCATTACTCATCGTAATATGCATCTGCTACATTAAAAACTATTGTCTCTAACGACATTTTTTGACATATTTTAAGTTTTTTTTGCTTAATATCTCTTGTAGTGTAGTACTAGTAAGCAACAGTAACTATGTGTAGGATAAAATTACAGTAAGAATATATGTACACAAACCAGTACAATAACGCCTACGTATCAATTATTACAAATACTGGTGTCTGCCCGTCGAAACCACCACCAAATTAAGATCGCAATCGGGCAGAAAGGTCGCATACAATTGTAAGCTAAGGATTCTATCTATATATTGTTCTTACTTCACAATACGAAACATAAACAGCTTAACACTATATAAGGTTTATGAATTTGGCGATGTTAGACAAGATATATTTATGGTATTTGGATGTAAAACTTCTGACGAAGAATATTTTGACTTTAACTATTTTTTAACAATTGTTGGTTTTTGTCGAGCCTGCGACTTTTGTCGCAGAAAGCTCGACATAGGGATAGTGATCCGGCGGCGGCGGCGGCGGCGTTAGCTAACTTCTTAAAAGCTTTATATTTTAGAAGGTGGAAGGTCTGGATACTTCATACTTTGTATATGGATGCCTCATGTTACGAAGTTTCCGTCAGTCACATGTCCAATGTCCTTGACCTCATTTTCATGGTTCAGTGACTACTTGAAAAAAAAGTTAAGATTTTTTGTAATGTTAGATTCTCTCTTATTATAAGTAATAGGATAACTATATTTGGTATGTGCGTACCTTGCAAGGTCCTCATGCCCGTCAGACAGTTTTCACTTGACCTCGACCTCATTTCATGGATCAGTGAACAAGGTTAAGTTTTGGTGGTCAAGTCCATATCTCAGATACTATAAGCAATAGGTCTAGTATATTCGGTGTATGGAAGGACTGTAAGGTGTATATGTCCAACTGGCAGGTGTTATCTGACCTTGACCTCATTTTCATGGTTCAGTGGTTATAGTTAAGTTTTTGCGTTTTGGTCTGTTTTTCTTATACTGTATGCCATAGGTCTACTATATTTGGTGTATGTAATGATTGTAAGGTGTTAATGTTTAGCAGGCAGGTGTCATCTGACCTTGACCTCATTTTCATGGTTCAGTGGTCAAAGTTAAGTTTTTGAGTTTTGGTCTTTTTTTCTAATACTATATGCAATAGTTCAACTATATTTGGTATGTGCGTACCTTGCAAGGTTCTCATGCCCGTCAGACAGTTTTCACTTGACCTCGACCTCATTTCATGGATCAGTGAACAAGGTTAAGTTTTGGTGGTCAAGTCCATATCTCAGATACTATAAGCAATAGGTCTAGTATATTCGGTGTATGGAAGGACTGCAAGGTGTACATGTCCAACTGGCAGGTGTCATCTGACCTTGACCTCATTTTCATGGTTCAGTGGTTATAGTTAAGTTTTTGTGTTTTGGTCTGTTTTTCCTATACTGTATGCCATAGGTCTACTTTATTTGGTGTATGGAATGATTGTAAGGTGTACATGTCTAGCGGGCAGGTGTCATCTGACCTTGACCTCATTTTCATGGTTCAGTGGTCAAAGTTAAGTTTTTTGAGTTTTGGTCTTTTTTTCTAATACTATATATGCAATAGTTCAACTATATTTGGTGTATGGAAATATTTTATGATTTATTTGGCAGTCACGCAGGTTTTATTTGACCTTGACCTCATTTTTCAAGGTTCATTGCTCAGTGTTAAGTTTTTGTGTTTTGGTCTGTTTTTCTTAAACTATAAGCAATAGGTCAACTATATTTGTTGTATGGAAGAATTTTAGCTGTACATGCCTGCCTAGCATGGTTCATCTGACCTTGACCTCATTTTCATGGTTCATTGGTCAATGTTTAGTTTACTTGGTTAATGTTAAGTTTATGTGACAGTTGTAATAAAGCTTTATATTTAGGACAATCAACATAATATCAATAATTAGTAAAGAAGGCGAGACATTTCAGCGTGTGCACTCTTGTTCAATTTACAAAGCCTCTTACATATCTGATCAAAAGACAAAAAATGTCAATGTTTTCTCAATTTTTCTTAATGAGTTCAATAGATATGTATGTTTGACAATTAAAAGTAATGTTTTAGCAACCATTAGAAAACATACGAATAATCATTATGAGTGATAGCATTTAATATATATTTGATGTAATATGAATTTTACAACTAATTACTTCCCTGAGTGATTAGTGGAATGTAACAGGGAACATCAGGAGGAGCTTGGACTCCTGAAGGATATTGTAACAAGCCAATAATTGAAATAAATATTTAATTATTAAAAAAAAAAATATATATCTATATTTACAAATCTGCTGTTGTGCTTGATCACAGGTCTTCACACTGACACCATCAACTGACTCCTTATAGTTAAGTTTCCCTTAAATAACAATTTTCCACATTTTAATCAGCAATACAAAATCTACAAAATTGCTAAAAACCGACTAACACCATCAATTAACTCAAAACGAAGTTGTTGAGCTTATTTTTTTACCTTAGAGCAGACCGTACGTTGTCACATTATTGTCATCAGGATAGCATAGCATCTTCAGTTTTGTCGGATCCTCTTCAAATTATCCACTCATCAATATCTCGGATCAATTTGATAACTGAGAAAGAACAATTTTTTTCGGGAGATGGACTTTTAAAAAATATTAATATTAATGTTTTATTTTACTGATAATCAGTTTTATGTAATTCCCATTAAGATATTGTCTTGGGTAAAGTTTTCGGCATTAATATCGTTTACTAACTTTCACAGAATGTTACGAAACTTGGACAGAAGCTTCTTCGTTTTTAAGAAAAAAACATCTGGAGAAAAAAACATTTGAAAAACAAATTTTTCTGTAGTTTACCGATAAACGTACTTAGTTTTTGCAGTCAACATTACACTTTGAGACACGGCGTTCCGTGGAACCCATTATACATTTTTAAATATTTTTAATTCTGATCCAGATGAGCGATTCAGACTCATTGGACCCTTTTGTTCTTACGGCCATTGCGTTTTCTTTTTTCCCTCGACTTATGCTATGGTTTTGACTGTCACCTTGGTATCATCTCTTCTTTTTTAAAGGGACCTCGGTGGCCGAGTGGTCTTAGTAATCACTAGCCTGTCAACACTGAGGTTTTCAGTTTGAACCCCGCACGAGGCAGGGGCGCTAGACTCCAATCTTAATTGACTAGGATTTTCTATTTTCCTGCCGAATGTCGGTGGTTCTCTCCGGGCACTACGGCTTCCTCAACCAATAAAAAAGCCAATACGATTGAAAGAGGCGTTATGCACCAATCAATCAATCAATCCTATTGGATCGGATGTTTTTCAACTGCATATTTTAGATTAATAGAACTAAATTACA